GCCTACTCTAATACTTCATCATCTACAATTTTAAAGGACCCAAAGGCGTATCCCCCCCCCCCCCGCCATGTGCCACTGTCCTTTAGCTTTATTAATGATATGCGGTGGGGCGGTGTTCTCTTGAAGAAAAATAAAAAGGGAAGACTAAGTGAATTTTTTTTTTCAAACAAAAAAAAATCTTCTTCAATCTGTAACTAAGAAAACTTTAAGTCAATAAGACTTGTTTAGAATAGTTTATAATTATCTTTTCAATTATAATTTACAAAGTATAAAATAAACATGTGAAAAAAAGTTTTGTCTTAATATATTTATAAACAGTGATTTCAAATTGGCTCTAGTGCAGGTGATTTTTTATTTCTCTCTCAGAAAGTCCAATTGGTCTTGACTTTAGTGGATGCATCCCCTGCCACTCGTCAGCATTTTGATGCACCGTAAATGAGGGCCTCCAAACATGACGACGTCTCTTTCCGTCTATTATCCCAAGATTGCTATCTTCTCATATTATCCATATATTTGAAATTATTTTTATTATCACAAAATGTCAATTCCTTACTTATTATACTGTCTTCAATCAGTTGCCTTTGTATCAAATTATTGCAAGCAAATCTTCAGTCCAAAAAAACAAATTATTGCAAGAAAATCGTGCATTGACATCTAGAGTGCGCGCGCGCGCGTCTATAATTGAGGCAGCTATGGTGATAATTGCTTTATTTAATTTAATACTAGTGTAATTTTATATACTTTAATGAAAGGCAAAAATAATTTTGAGTAGCCGAATAATCATTATTTTCCTTCTAAGTTTTGCGGGGGGCTCTGAAAAATATAAGTAGTTGGAAAACCAAGCAAAGCTGTCTGTCATACTTGTTATCTTCAAGCAAACATCGGGCTTGTTAAGAGTTCTGACTTGTGATAAAAAAGGCGCGGCACCGATTCTCTATCTCTGTGATCTTCACGAGGTTTAGTTCAGCGGATTAACTTCTTAATTTCTCTAAAATTCAAGCTTTTAATTCCTTGCGTAGAATTGTTTGTGCAGGCAAAGGAGATTGTTAGGTCCGATTTAATTGACGAGGCCCCCCTCTCTTTCTCTGTTGTTTGACGGAGGATTATCGGCAAAGTCCTTAAAGTCAACTTGGAGCTTTTCCTCCATTCCAAAATTTTGTTGTCTGTGAAGCATGCTGGAAATTTCATGAAAGATTATTCTGTTTTTGCAACTTGGATGATTCTGTCAAACTCAGGGCTTTTTTATTTTTATGTTGTATCGAGTATTAGTCTACTTATAAGCTTTGATTTATTTCGAGTTACATGCGCTCCTCGTTGTTTATGTATTTATCTATGTTCTGGGTTTGGGTTAAGCAATTCTTTGTATGTTGACTTTCAACTACACATGTCTGCGGGACTATCAGGATTTATTTATTTTGAGAAATCGTGAGTCTTGTTTTTACGTTACAGGTTAGTTACACCTTTATCAAATAACTTGAATTCTTATTACCGATTTCAGGAGGAATGGCTAAGAGTTACTTCAAACAGGAGCATGATCTTGGTATACACTGGTTTTTATTTGAAATCCTCCTGTTATTACTTTTACGTATTTGGAAAGCTGAGAAACAAACAATGAATGATTATTTTTGTCAGAAAAGAGAAGAGCTGAGGCTGCTAGGATCAGGGATAAATACCCAGACAGAATCCCGGTAAGAACTGAGAACTTATAATAATTTTTTTAATCTCTTGCTGGTGATACCTCCATATATGATATGAAATACAACTGTAGTTTAAGCATTATTGTTCTTTTATCTGTTTTGCCAGATGTAGGAGCCAATGCTTTTTCATAATTATGGCTGTCCTGTCTGAATTTTGTTTGGTATCTTCAAATTTATTCGTCTGTTTGTCTATTTTCTCTTCCACGTCATGATTTGGCAGTACACACTGCTGACCAGCACTTGAAGTTTGGATCAGAAGTATATAGAATATTCAATCCTGGATTCTTAATTGGAAAAATAAATTAACTTTTCTTGTTAGAAACAAATTAGGATAGATATGTTGTTATGGCATACCACAATTGATGGAGCACCAACACAAATCACCATAAGGATTCGAACTAAACACCCTATGGTCAAGGAAGCTCAATCCTACTGCTAAGCCAGCCCTTGTTGACGAAATAACAACCTTTTGATGAGCAGAAACCTGGTTAATGTTGATAAATACACTGTTTTAGTATTCTGAATATTTTGCTCTCGTATTCATAAAATGTTCATAGCTTTCAGTTTTCAATTTTATGAAATGATAATCTGTTTTTAGAGATAGTTTAAAGTTTAATTTGAGGCTCCTGGCAGAAACATACATTTGTCAAGGACATTGTGAGTAAACTTATGGTTTGACTTATTGCTTGCTGCTCCTGCTTCAATTGAAATGTCATTGCCATTTTACTTCAAACATTTCTACCTTTGTGCTTACTGCTCTTTGGATATACCTGAAGGTGATTGTGGAGAAGGCAGAGAGGAGTGATATCCCAAGCATCGACAAGAAGAAGTAAGATTGCACTTTGTTCATTTGTTTTGTTTCCTGCCCTCTGCCCTCTGTTTTTAAAAGTAAAGTAAATGTTTATAGTGATTTGACATTATTTGTTTCTAAACTTGAGTGTATTAGAGGGAGGTTGTTGGCTGAGGAAAATGGATTGAGAAAGATCTTGTCTGTGAAGCTCTTGTTCGTCTACTAAAGGCTTCGGTATTTAACATCATAAGTTTGTAGCAAATAAGGACAGGAATATAAAGAGCTGTTCTGACTTTAGTCCTCCAAGACTATTCAAAATAATTAAAAGATTATCTTATCTGATATCTTTTTTTTTTTTTTTTTTTGCGCCATAAAAAGATTATCTGATATCAGTAACGCACAAATCCTAATTCATGATGTCATGAGAAATTGAAGCTGAAATTGCTGTTCCTATTGTGTGTATGCTCCATTTCATATAAGGACATGAATTCAGTCTCTGGTAAAGCGCAATTAAACTACTGTTTCTCTTGTACTAAAAGAATGTTGACAATTTATTTGCGTTTGGTTCTCGTGTGGCTTGTTATGATGGCCGGATAATTTTTGCTTCTATTGCTTAGCAAATTCTAGATTTTAAGGTAGAAGGATGCTGTTTTTGTCCAATGTAAGCCTTTTCCAAGTAGCATTTCAAATTGATGGAATAAAATTGCAGGTACCTTGTCCCTGCTGACCTGACAGTTGGACAGTTTGTTTATGTCATCCGCAAAAGGATCAAGTTAAGTGCAGAAAAGGCCATTTTTATATTTGTGGACAATGTCCTCCCCCCAACGGGTAATCTTTTTGGAAAATTACATGATTCTTCACTCGCTGCAACGCAAATGCTAGTCATCTGATCTTTAATGGCATTCTATAACATCAATCTTTCAGGTGCAATTATGTCTGCTATATATGATGAGAAGAAGGATGAAGACGGGTTCCTTTATGTTACATACAGTGGCGAAAACACCTTCGGGAATCTGACTTTTTAGTTGCAGTATTAGCTTTTATTAGTTTACAATATAATATCATCTCACGGTTGTCATTGGCTTGTCTGATGATTCCATTATGTTATTGCTCATTGTATCAAGGAACCTTGCTTTCAAAATTATGTACAGTTGTATATAAATTCCAAGAACCTGTTCAACGCTCGAGTTTCTTCCTTTGCACTCAGCCTTCTAACTATTTCCTAGGTCATTCGGTTGTGCAACCAGTGTGTACTTTTGAGGGGTCCTCGTATGTTCTAATTCACATACTCTGAACTTGAGCCCTGTAGTTCCGGTGTTTAAATCAAGGGATGAGGGAGAGGGGTCATGTCTTGAAGATTTTGAATAGTTTTAACCTCTAGCCTTTGGTATTACTATTCAATGAGTCCGGTGTCGGGTTTTTATCTGACTTAGGTGTGTTATCTACGAGGATGCGAAACCAAGGGGAAAAAGGGAAATATCTTTAACAGTAATTTATTACTAATAATTTAGGAGAAAGAGTTAGTTTCTCACAATGTGACATTAAAATTCAAGTTCTGTTGAAAGATGTTTTCACATTTAATACTTTACAATATTTCGAATAGAATTGTTTTCAATAGAATTATAGGAGGATATATATGCATAGCAAAAAAAAAAATACAATTAACAAAAGAATATTACTAACCATATTAATCATTATTACAATCAACACCTTATTTGTCATTTTGTTTGTAGAAAGTTTCAGGGGTCATATTTGTAGGGCATAATGATGCGTAAAGTAAGCCATCATGGACACTCTCAACGGTCCAAAGCAAACAATACGTAGTTAAATAAGTGACAACTGCCAAAACTTGCCTTCCCTTGTAATGATCCCACAAGGGAAGAAAAATTGATAATGACTTGTGCAGAAGTAGGTGCTTTGAGTTTCTGGCAAAAAGGTAATGGCAATAAAGGGTTATCTATAAGAAGAGGAAAAGTTAGGCGCGAAATGATGTATGAAGCAGTTATCTTCCAACTGGGAGAAGATGATTCCATGGTTTTTACTTTTCAGTACACCTAAGAGCTAAGAGGATCCAATAATTGTTCTTCTAGTTGGTGGTTGGCGGATTTGTAATTGCATTTAGGCGTGCTCCGACCAGCAATAAACCGTTAGTGCCGTAGCTTAGCTTTGTGTCCGTGAAGCAGAATTTGTCTCTCTCAAACATGAAACCAATTTGAAAAAAGGTAGGCCCCAAAAAAAAGGTGGCAGGATTAATTATATTATAATAATCATGATAATAACTTTATTTTACCATATTAGAATATTCTTATAATGAAATCATATTATAGTGTGTTTAAATTTAGAAGTTCTAAAGCTGGCCAAAAAAGTTTAGAAGTTTTAATGTGTTTTTAAGCAGTGTCTTAAAGTTTTTTTTAATATATATTTTTGTGAAGAAATTATTATGGGTAAAATTTTCGTTTTCCATTATTTCGAGTATCAACGCCCGTTCAGACGCTCATATTCTCTCTCTACCACAGAGAAAATAGAAAAGGAAAGGAAATCAAATCTTGTAATCACAGCATTGCATTGCAGTTCCCCAATTCTTCCATTCCCTCCCTCCTCCTCCGTCTTCTCGATCTATCCGCCCTTCTTGTGGTGGCCCAACATACATGAAGTAGATTCTGCGCATCTCGATCTCGCTGCCTTTGTCGTCTCCGAACAGCTTTTGCGGATCACTCTTCCTATATAGCCATTGTCCCAAGATGAGCACCGGCGAGCTCCTTGGCATCGAACCTCTAGAACTCAAGTTCCCCTGTAAGTTTTCTCCTGGATCTATTTGTCGTTTTCTAGGGTTTTCTCATGCGCTTGTTTTAATTATGAATTTTCCTTCATTTTTTCTTAGTTGAACTGAAGAAGCAGATCTCATGCTCCATTCAATTGTCAAATAAGACCGACGACCATGTGGCCTTCAAGGTAGCGCAATTAGTTCTTCTTCTCGTCCGTTTCAATGATTATCTAGGAGTTCTTTGTTCGTGGAGGATGACTCGATTGTGAATTTTGGCCTTGCTTCTCGGATAAAGCTGCTAGCAGCACAAGATCTCTTGAATTGACCTTGATATTAAATATTGGCGTTATTAATGTGACTTCCTCTTATAGTTAATGTTGCACGTCCGAAGAACAAACCATCTTGGTCATAGTTGTAGTTTTATTTCATAAGGTGTATTTATGATTGACACTTGTCAAGATTTGCATGTTTGAGCTTGTGTTGTTCATGTCCAGGTCAAAACAACCAACCCAAAGAAATATTGCGTTCGTCCAAACACTGGGATCGTCTTGCCGCGATCTACGTGTGACGTTATAGGTACCAGTGTGAATGTTTAAATATACTCTACATTCTTTTGCCCGTTTATGGTCAATCCATGACTGTTGACGTTTGGCTTTTCTTAAGTTACCATGCAAGCGCAAAAAGAAGCTCCACCTGATATGCAATGCAAGGATAAATTTCTTCTTCAAAGTGTGAAAACAAATGATGGTACCAATCCAAAGGATATCAATGCAGAAATGGTATTATACAACATGCCAGTTATCAAGACAACTTACTTAGACTGGGAGTGTTTTTCCTTTTTTTATTGAATAATCTCTGCGTGAAATCACAATATTTATGTCATTGGGCTTGTCTAGTTCAATAAGGAGGCTGGGCATGTGGTCGAGGAGTGCAAATTAAGAGTGGTGTATGTTTCTCCACCTCAGCCACCATCTCCAGTTCCCGAAGGTTCTGAGGAAGGATCATCACCCAGGGCTTCTGTTTCAGAAAATGGAAATGTCAATAGTGCTGACTTTCCCACAGTAGGTTCTTAACTTGTTCATGGTTTTCATGAGTCCCCTTCTACCCTATAAGAATTCAACGACTTCAACTTAATAAACCTTTGTGGTTGGGGTACTGCAGGTAACAAAAGCATTTACTGACCGACCAGAGGTACAAGAAAAATCTGGAGAGGTGAAAATAAAATCTTTAAATGAATTCCTTGTTTGTCAATAGGTAGTTTGTTTTGTGGGTATCTTTTGTCACTTGACTGGCAGTGACATATGCAAACCCTTTATTGTTTAATTTTTTATTCTAGCCCTGGATGAAGATGCTTTGTTTCCGTAATCCCAATCCCTTCTTTTTTTTCTTGTTTATTTGTTTACATTTGCCCCAAAGGTTAGGAAATACTCTTTAGTAAAAGTAAAGTGGCATCTATGGGCTATTCCATGCATCCTTGGTCAAGTGATGATAACACGCGCGCACAAACACACACACAATATGCTATTAAGAAGCATTCATATGCTCTTTTTTCAAGTATCGAATGGCAATTTCCTGAATGAATTTTGCATCTCAACTTTGAAGTGTTTTTACACCAGATTTTTTCAATTGGGAAGTTAGAGGCTCCAAGCTTCCTTGCTCGCTCATTTTAATCAGTATTGAGTCGCTTCTGCTCTGTGCATATTTCTGAATTTTGTTGAGCTCTTTCTTTCATATCATTCAATATGAATGAACTTATATGCATGTAGAACACAAAAAAAGCCCTTAGAAAATAAAACTTGGTTGGACGTTGATTTTTCCTTTTTAAATTTTGGCTTTTACTAAGTGGTTTCATATATCTTTCAGATATACGTCACGGGAGTGTTTGCCAGTGATTGCCAAATGCCTTGCTAGCGCAAAACTCTGACATTATGTCATGTCCATTGTGGATAAAGAAATGCATCTTGTTTGGCTAATTTTGTACATTAATTCACACATAAGAATCCTGTTTCAAGTTTACAAATTTAGGCTTGATTACGAATTCTACTTTTGATCGGGGTTATGCTAGGTTTACATTACATGACTCAGCATTTTTCTGCTTTGGAGAGTGGAGACTGCTGTCCTTTATCCGGATAATGATTTTGACAGTAATTCCCAAGGGACAATGTGTTCCCCTGTATGACCAAAGCTGCAGGATTAGTTCAAATTTTCAACTGCGAACAAGTTGTACTGTAACCATTTAATAGTGGGTTAGGAGATTAAAAGAAGAGAAGATTAATTAGTTACTTCTTTTGTTTGATCACAGGCTATGATTTTATGTCGGGCATATAATTTTTGGATTTTGTGCCATATGACAACTTTATTTTGAATTGCTATCATTGCAGGCAAAAGCTCTAATCTCAAGGCTGACAGAGGAGAAGAATAATGCAGTTCAAGTAAATAACAAGCTTGCCCAGGAACTGGTAAGTGATTAACGAAGTATACAAGGTTTTAAACTAATAATCTTTACTGCCTATCTGTTTGTCTATATTTCTGTTCTTATTGATGAATGAGGAGACAACAGTCAATCTAACTTATGAGCGGAAATCTTTAAGAGTAATACCCTCCTGACATTGTGATGGGTGCCTAAGGTAGGATGAGGAACCTTACTCCAAATGGTTGCTTGTGGGTCCATGGCTGAACCTGACGGGTGTTTGATTTGGCCTGAGCAAGTCGTGTTTAAATCTAGTTTACTTTGCATCTCACATTGGTTCGGGAAAGGCAGTCTGTGCTGTCAGCCATAAATATTATTCTGGGAATCCAGGATGAAGTAAATAATCTGATGTTCTCTGTTAGAGGTAGAGTAGAAGAATGCAACTGATTTTTAGATCTTATAGGAACTTTGGTGGTGGGACTTGGATTTGAAAGTTTGGTCATAAATTTTTACAAGGTAAGTGGGTGCATACATCACCCTGATTCCTGTGTTACTTTGAAACTGGGATGCTTACTTCAATGATTTGCCTGTTTGTAGGAGCTGCTGAAGCGTGAAGCCAACAAAAGTGGCGGTGGAGTTCCTATAATGTTTGTCATCTTAATTGGTTTGCTCGGCATAATTTTGGGTTATCTTATGAAGAAGACCTAAGCGTTCCTGGTGTTCAATCTTTCATCATACATTTTCATCTCGATTCGGTATTGCTCCTGGCTAGTCAAGAAATGATGACAAAAGGGAAATAGATTAATTCAGCAATTGGTGTTTTTACCCTTTTTTTTTTTTTTGGTGCCCGATGGATAACATTTTGGAATAGAAAACCTGAGGTAAAGTTATGAATCTGTAGTTGCGCAAGGATTTAATGTGAACCGACTCATGCTTTACATAACATGCATTCTTTTTGTGAGTTAAGGGAAGTTCAATTCTCGTCTTTCGTGTATGGTTTTTCCGTTGATTATCTGACGGCAAGGACCACTTATAGCATGCATCTTCGGAGTGGAATTACCTTTCGGACTAAAATGTTGACAATGGCAATCAGATGCTGGATTAATTTAACCTTTTTCTTTTATTTGTGTCATTTGTCTTTGAACTCAAGCCACAATCAGTACTGTGAATAGAACTCAGTTATCCGTTAGAGTAACGGAATACTTGTCCAATGATTAATTAGCCAACTCACTGTTTTTTTAGTGTCTTCTCTTGTTTTGTTTGATCTTTCTGGAATAACATTTTCATGTCATACTGTTGTTGCTCTCATTTGCAACTTCGCATAACCAACCAATTTTTGGAGTCAACGTCAGATGTTTCAAGTAACATTCCCTAGTACCTCCTTGTTTGAAAAAAGATGCTGTTAAAATGTTGCTAATTTACTCCGATTCTAATTATAAGATTTTATTTATAAATTACAAACGACGTTTTCTAGTTAGGATTTATTGTCTCCTATTTAATATTCTTTAATCACTAAGATTATCAAAGCTATAAAGAGGGAATAATTTTTTTTTTTTATTTTTTTTATTTCTAGTATCTAAAGCTAGTATTTAAATTTTTCATTTAAAATGCAAACATATTAAGAATTAAGCTTGGAAATTATTGTAGAAGGATCCAGAGTTCTCCGCTCCCGTCCAGGAGGCTTCTCCCTGAAAGAGCTACGTACTACGTGGGGACCATTGCGGCAATTACAAAGGAAAATTTGGTATAATAGTGTTTGGGAAAAAACCATCAGTAAATGAAATAACACATTGTGACTTAAAGTTGATGGAAAGTAAGAGTTTCTTTTTACCAACTCCTTTGTGGGCTGTTATCCTGAAACAAAAAGAGCAAAACTGATTCTCTGCTTTTGAATATAAAGTAAATATAAATATAAAAAAATGGTTTACTATTTTATCTCAACACTCTAAGAAAATTATTAGTTTCTCGAAAGATGATCATAATTTCTCTAAAAGAGAAAAATAATAACCTCCATTTGAATTTTGAAAAAGAGTGTTTTTTTTTTATAAAAAATAGCAATGAAAAAAACAGGAAAAAATAGGGGGTGCATAATCTAATGTAAACAATTTTTGGGTCACAAGAAGAGCCCAAGCCCAAAAGTGGATCCATATGTGCGGGTGACAAATTTGAGATAAAATTAAGATTAAGATACCAAAATTAATTAGAGTTACATTCTCTCTCCCTTGATATTGTCATTACGCAACTCATTTATGCCAACGCATAGTTTTAGGACGAGGACTAGTTTTCAAAATCCCACGAATTTTGTTTTTTATTTTTTTTGCCCGCGAAAATCCCACAGATGTGTGGCTTAAGATTCCTAACAATGATTCGAAATCGCGCTTCGTCCACACTCTACAGAGTTCTAGAGTCAGCATCTCCCGTCTTGGCTCTCTGTTCTCGAACTTTCTCGAGACCTATCCCTCCCATGTCCCCACCTCCACGGTGCCCCTTTCCCCTCTCCCAAGAAATGCTTTTCGGTGTGTTTTTCTCGCAAATCCTCCCTTGTATAAAAGGCCCAGGCCCTCCTTCGGTGTGTTACCGCTCTGAGCGTGTAGTCTTGTTTTCGGACATCATCACGTTGCTCTGATATTTCACCCCCAAGCATCAATGGCTCTGCGAAGGGTCACCGGCACAGCTCCTACTCTTTTCTCGAGGCTTCTCAACAGCCATTTCTCTGTTGTCCGCTGCACTCCCTCTGTTTCTCGCTCGTTCAATACTAACGCACAGCTTTCCAACTATGATGACGACGATCGAAGCGTTGATATTGACCGCCGCTCTGATTCCCCTGCCGCTCGTCGTCGTGATTCTGTTCCCAGCTTTTTCTCAGGTACTGTTATCACTGTCCTCCATGCTCCTATTAGTTGGACACTGATTCTGTTTTTGTTAAACTTCCTTTCATCCAAGAATTTTATACATGAGCCGAAGTTTCGTTTAGTTCGTAGAAAGTCTGACGAACTTTTTTAATTTACAATTTCAACGAGCAGATGCCTTTGATCCGTTTGCTCCGCCGAGGAGCTTGTCGCAGATGCTGAACCTTATGGATCAATTCGTGGACAATCCATTTCTGGCGGCTTCTCGTGGCGTTGGCGCAGGTTCAAGGAGAGGATGGGATGTGAAGGAGGATGAGAACGCTCTGTTTTTGCGGATGGATATGCCTGGGCTTGGCAAAGAGGACGTCAAGATTTCGGTAGAGCAGAACACGCTGGTAGTGAAAGGTGAGGGAACCAAAGAATCAGAAGATGAGGAGGACGGCGTTAGGAGGTACTCCAGTCGACTGGATATTCCGCCCAAGTTATACAAGATCGATTCGATTAAAGCTGAAATGAAGAATGGAGTGCTCAAGATCAAGATTCCGAGAGTTAGGGAGGAAGAACGAGAAGACGTTTTTCAAGTTAAGATAGAGTGACACCTTCGCATCGCATGATTCACCAAATCCTGAATCAAACTTCTGCTGTCTTTTCTGTTAGGTATCGATGTGTATCAAGTTTTTTTGTGTTGTGTCTGTATCGTCGGCTGCATGCTATATCCGTCGATGGCAGGACTTTTGAATGAACTAGTTTGTAGTAACTCCACTGGTCAAAAATAGAAGATGTTGTGTGGTGTTGTTGATGTTATCTTTTCGTACTCTCGCCTGGTAAGAGGATGAACGTGAAACAAATGCAGAAACGGAGGAAAAATAATAATAAATGATTATAATATCCTGGTGAAAACTTTACAGTAACAAGCGTGCTGGGCAGCCTCTGTTATGAGTTCTGCTTCCTCCGGTGAGCCTTCTGGGTGTATTTGTGGCTCCACGGCTATCCAATTTCGCTAATACATTGTCTGCGGCGGGGCTGCTTGGTAGCTGTTCTCGTTCTTATCATGTGATTGACCTTACGGTACACGCGGTTTTAGTTCTTAGATGATGAGGTTTTTAAATTCATCAAATTTAAAATTTTTAATTAATTATTTTTAATTAAAAAAATTTATTTTTTTTTAAAAAATATAGTTAAGATATTATCTTTATCTTAAATTCTATATATATTAAAATAATTATTTTGAGTAAATAAAAAAAAAAAAGATCTAGCTTAAATATAGATCATCCAGATTTGGTGCTACTGATTCCTGCTACTTTTCCTCATATTTTTGATTAAGTATGGCATTTATTAACGTTTAGAATGGACGACTGATAGAATTGATCTCCAACTGCGGAATATTGATGGAAGATGCACAATCTCTGGCCGAAGAACCCAAAGGTGCATGGTGTATAACACTGGAATGTCAATCCCACTCTACACTGGTGCCATAAAACCTCGCATTGCACCATTTTCTTTTCGCCCCTTCGCGCTTATGAAGGTTAGAACCTTTTAAGCGTAGCCATGATAATCGCCGGTTGGCTGTATTTGGATCGAAGTGGCCAACTGCCTGCTCTACAAGCATTTTTTGGGGGGGGGGGGGTGTTTATCTCCCCTCATTTTCTTTACTCTTTCGGCTGCAAATAGTGGTGTGAGTATGCTGTCGTGTACATGTCTTTTAGTCTGCATGGTCAAGTGGCGCCGCGTTTTGTTGATAATTTTTTAGCTTTCGTTTTGGACTTGAGGTTGACTTATGGTGTTGTGCGGAGTGCTCAAAACTCATGAAATTGTTTCATCCTGATTCTTTTCTGGTGAAACGGTTCGGAACATCAATCAGATCACCTTTTACGAGAGAATAGCAGAGAAGAGAAATCAAGTTCTACATTGTGTTTTTAATGATTTCCCGAATGGGAAGAATACATGCCATTTTAGTCTTAGTGCATCATTTGGGAACCGTGTTTGAACAGATGAGTCCGTTCAATAACATAATATGGCTTATCAAAAGCCTCAAGATGACTCTTTTCGACGGCATCACGAATAAATTTCCTTTCCGGGAAGTAACAATTATTCGGTATAAGGAGGGTTTAGTCGTGTACAGAGTATTCCGCTGTGGTGGAAAAGAGTAAATTGATCTTCTTCTTCTCTTTTTTTCTTTTTTTTTAATCTTTTTCCTCTTCACTCATTTTGAGAGGTTCACATACCCGCCCTCTCACCTTGTCGGCTTCTCTATGTGCTGTTCAAGATCTCTCAAGGCCTGCAAAGGAAAAACACATAAACAAAACAAAACAAAGGTCATTTCACACTGATAAAATCTGTAAGCTCACCATCCTGGCGTCTTCAATTGCTGCTTCAAGTGTCTTCATTTTCTGCCATGGAGAATGCCAAAAATAAAAATATGTTACTCTTTTGGGATGCCTTGTTTTCGAAAAGAGGCATCGTCTTAAGCACGACTTACAGAAGTGACATCTCCCAGGGCAGCTTCCAGCCCATTAATTTTCCGTAATGCCTCTTCATAAACAATCTCTTGTCCTATGGTCTGCCCAGCAAGGTCATCTTCATTTCCGTAGTCATTGTCAACCTGTATTTCATCAAATTCAGCCCATTTAGTAGTAAGTAACAGTGATCGTATGACATTCAGGTCCAAGAAAACAAAAACACAGAATTTATGACATTCGAAGATGAATCACTTCATGCCTTGTTGGGCACCAACGATTCTTCTAAAGCAATACCGTTGCTGATCTCTCCTCTCAGGGAAACGGCCTGCAAAGTTAAATGAAGATTCCCCTCTCAATTAAATCTTCATGACAAATAGTAAACATAAGGAAACTAATTGCGCAACAGGGATCCTCGGAGGGAAAATATGACCTGAATCATTTCTAGTATTTCTGTATCATTCCACGGCCCTTTATCACTCATCAGGCAACCTCCAGAGTCAGAACACGAGCAGTGCCCACCCAGAAAATCTGGCAAATTACTGAAAAATCAGACGACCAAATGTTCACAGTCAATAGCCTTATCGGTGTGCAGAACCGTATAGAAAAAACCTAAGGAAATTTCTTGTTACCTTGGATCGACAGCCTCAAGCAGAACATGCAGATAGTTAGCACCCAATACCTGAAACAATAACATCGAATGCTGATATACGGGCTACGAAGCGACACAAAAAGATGAATGAAGAATTGAGTATGAAGTTTGAAGGCGAATAATGACACATACTTGAATTTTTGCGAGGGTGCGTACATCTAGAAAGGCTGCCACTGCTTTCCACAGCATCCTAAATCCAGATCCGGCATTGATAATATACAGCCGATTCATTGTCTGCAACAGAACCTCATCAACATACGTTAATTAACTCAAAACTCACGATAAAAATGTTCGGAAAGCAACATTTTAAAGTTTTAAACAGCTCTAGTGAACATCGGTTCAACTCCGCTTCAAGCATTTAATCGATCTTCGTACAATGAACTGAAGTCTGATATAGATACCTCGGGATAGTAATTGCTATCAATCTTCTGAATTTCTGTAAAGAGATATCTAGCAGGCTTGGAGAAATTAGACATTCCCTGACAACAACAGAAAGAATCAACTGGATATGGACCATTACAATTCAAAATCGGTCAGAAAAGAACCATGACAATTGACAGACAAAATAGTGAAAATACTGAGCTCATAAACGCATAATTAGTCAATTGTGATTAATTTGCTTACCACTCCGTTTACATCTAAGATGGTTGTGGTGGATGCTATATGTCTTTTAGCTGCTAGTGAACATGCAGGATATCTTACATCTAGCGTTTTCTCTTGCTCTGCCACGTGATATTTGATATATCTTTCAATTGTGGTCACTTCCAGCAGTCTCTTAAGGTCTATCATCCCAATTCTTTCGATATATAGTGGTCTTCCATGCCTGTCAACTCCGTGGTATCCATGAGGATAAGATTTCTTTACTTCTGTGTACTCCGTGAAATTGAATTCCTGATTATATCCGGGCGAGAATCAGAATGCAGAGCCTTACCAGAATTAGTAATTTAAACGACGTCATGTGAAACTAAAAATCACTCATAAGCAAAATGGGGTTTCTCGTTCTCAATCAGGATGGTTTTCCTGGTAGTCTGGGAATTGAAAGCAATTCTACGAAGAAGAATAAATCATCTCATATAGATTCATATATTCACCTTATGAAGCATATCTACTCGAAATTCTGTCCGCCACTGCAGAAAACTCAGAAACATTTCTTTGGCTTTCAAGATATCGTAATCCCTCATGCGCAAAAACCTTAAAAGTGATTAATATTAAACACATGCGCCAACGAGTTAGTAAAACGACTCTGCCTTACCAAATGCATGATTAGTTAGATGACATACCGTAAAAGTGTATGATAATCATTGTGCTTTGGAGGTAAGAGACCCTCGACGAAAAGCATTTCACGGAAAGAGTCAACAATTTGCTCGTCTTTGAAATCACGAGGTCCTTCTAAAATCATTTGCATGCTTTTACTCCTCCTCAGTTTCTTTATGGACTCCCGAAACTTCAACGGGTAGGTCAGCACTGACTTGAATGATGAGGAAGAGGAAGCTTTCTTCTCTTTCACAGTGGGTAGCTCCCAAGATGTTTCAATGGGTGGATGAAGAATTTTAGTCCTGCCATCGCTAAAACCGCCAAGCCCATATTTCCGTACACCCGGAGATTCTTCTCCGGCACCTCTTGCTATGACTATATCCTTGTCTTTCGCTTTCATCAGTGACCAGATTGCGTTCTTTAACCGCGAGAATACTGAAAATATACATTTCATGCACAGTTATCTAATATGGAAATCAGTAGCAGAAATCAGATTGAGGATGCAAGGGAACAAAATTTATCTCACTACTACTAGGCAACATTATTTGCAACTAAAGAATTCAAATTCAAGATTAATGTGTTGACACCCAATTCCTAAGAAAGATAAGGCCTTTCCAAGTTCAGACGAATGCGCTTGATGAAAATTCCAAGGCAAAACAACGAGAAATTGACAGTTATAGATTGAACGTACAAGCAGAGCAGAGAGTACTGAAGAAAATATAGGAGGAGAAACGAAAGAGGGCAATTACTGAATCACGTACAAAGGAAGAGGTAGGCTTTTTGTGAAAGAGAAAAGGAGAGATGCATGAAGTGCTCGCTGGTTGGGGGGGATCCTATACCATGCTTTGCTTGTATTTCTCCAACGCGTGTTTTCTTATTCAAAAGAAACCGCCAAAACAAGAAAGGAAGTTTTGTTGTATTTGAACAAGGGATATGGTGATTAACTACCTCCTCCGTGTAACCAGTGTTTGAAAGTTTTTTCAAGTTCTTACATTTCCTGAAAAATTTATTTTCATCACAAAAATATCCTGACGATCATCCGTCATGAAGTTTGATAGTTAAATTATACAATTAATTTTTACTTTTAACGGTTTATGGCAGAAATGTTATGAAATGAAAGTTATAGGGCATATAAAAGCCAAATAGAACATACAAGTATACTTTTAGAATATTTAAGTACCTTATTCTTTTGAATGATACAGATTTCCTAGCCCTGCATGGCCGTGGGGATGGTTCTGTTTGGGCCTCTCACAATCTATGGGCCCAACTTAATTGGGCTCCAGTGTTAACTCACAGCCCATTTCAGGATACCGGCGGACAAAAAGCTAGCCCATGTCAAAGAATTGTTTTCCCACAACGGAACAAACCAAAAAGCCCAAGTCTGAGAAATGTCCCTTTGACTTTAGGATTGTTTTCTTACGTGGATTAGGGAAATCATTAAACATTCTGGGTTGTGGGGTGTTTGGATTCCTAGCATTTTTTTTACAAATCGAGATAAATTTTTTTAAGTATTTATTTTGTATACTGTAAAATTACTTTTAAAATTATAGTTTGGTTTCCATTCAAACACTCACGTTGACTAAAATGTCTTTAGCTAACATTTTTTAACATACTCTATAAGTGCTTATTAAAATTTTAAAACTACAATTATTTTAAACTAGTTAAAGCGATGCTTACAAGAATCACGGGGGATGACATTTCAGGTCCTTATAACAAAAATTTATTGATACATTAATGCTCTGAGATAAAGATCCTTTTCAGGTCAACAAAAAGAGACAAAGATCCTTTTTAAAATGGATAACCTTTTTTGTTTTTTTGCCAACTTAAAATGGATAACTATTACATACTCTCGTGTTAACTTGCCTGTTTTTATGTATAGAGGTCAAAATATTAATACTCCCTTTGGGATCCGTTTGTAATGAGAAAAATAGAGAGGAGAGGAAAAATTTTAATGAATTCAATTTTAAAAAAATGAAGAAGTAGAATTAAAATCTTTTAATGAATTTTTATTACTCTTTTATATTATTTCTTCTCTTTATTAAAATTTTAAAACCGCATTTTTTTTTAATTTTTTAAATGGAGCTTATCAAAATTTTTCCTTTTCTCTCCTTTCCTTCATTTCCCTCATATCAAACAATACCTTAATTATAGGCACAAAATGAAAATTAACCACTGCCTCTTATTCTTAATATAAAAATTAACTTCATATTCAATTTGGTCTTAATATATAAAATTCAGTTACCTTCTAATAGTTGCACATATTAAATATTTTATCAAATGATATTTCTAGCTAATACACATGATTAATAATGGTATTTTAAAAAATAAAATACTCCTCCAGTCCTTAATATAAAATCTATTTAACTAATTTGATTAGATTAAGAAAGTTAAGTAAGTTAGTTAAGTATAAGAAATATGACACATTTTTCCTAAAACACCATAATTATATTTCTTAATATCCCCTCTCCCTCTTCTACTTGATTATGGTTAAGAGAGTACCTATAGAGATAATTTAGAGAAAATTGATAAATATGAGAAATGGATCTTATATTTAGGATAAAAAATAACTCAATAATTAAATCTTATATTAAAGACCTGAGGAGTATATATGTATTACAAGTGATAATTTAACTAATTTTTTTAATTAATTTATTCAAATTAACTACTTAACTCTTATATTAAAAATTGAAGGCAGTATTTGACGGTTCTTAAGGAATAACAAGTAAATTCTCGGACTTACGGAAAACATATAATTTTTTAATTTTATCCTGCACTGAAATTAATGTCCGCAATGAAATGCCATACAGAAATTAAAAGCATGTTACTTCCAATTAAATGACTCGTGTTTCTGATTAGAGGGAGGATTCCATTAAAAAATACTCCCCCTGTTTCGGGATACGAGTCCTTTTGTAAGAAAACTTTTGTTGGTGTATTTCTTATCAGGGTTAATATAATTTTCAATACTTCAAATTTAAACTCATTTTGGTATTGGTTTTTGACATTTTAAATTTATAATTTTGGTTCTTAGAATTTAGTCTGTTAGCAAACATCAGTCCCTGACTGTTAAGTTTTGCTGAGATGGTACAAACAGTGTTAGTTTAGATGACGTGGGTTTTAATTTAGCAACGTAATCTTATTACGTGGCATGATGAGCTGACCGGACATATAGTTGAAGGCCAAAGAAGAAGAAGAAGAAAATCCTTTTCACAAAGCACGCACATGACAGGTTTGAAAAAAAGACGACAAAAATGATGCTGAAGAAGGACAAGAAAAGGGGAAGGGGCTAGGTTAGAGGAAGAGGACCGACATCACCGGAAAAGATTGATGTGGCCGTCACTAGAGCAACGGGCTTGGGGGCCGTCGAGTGAAGAACTTATACCTAGAAATCTATACAAGTCATTAGTGTTTACAGAGAATAGGCTGGATGGAAAGAACACGTTTCCTACTCATGAAAGAAATGCAAGATAATAGAGCATGCAGGATCACATTCAAAAACAAGAGGGAAACATAGAGTGTTAAGGCATATTAATTTTAACTGATGTCCAAGAATACTCTGTTTACCTTTGTTCTTTTAACAAAAAACAGAGGTAAACACCTTGGTTTTATTGAGGAAACTAGAAAGCAACATATAGGTTAAGAATCTAATACCAGGCTTTATGATTTCTCCACCATGTGTATAGGTTAAATATGTTAGCTGCAAATTGTATGAAATGATTTTTCTAAAATTAACTTCCTTTTAATAATCTCACAACTTTATTAACTCAATTATTTTTGTCCATGAATTTCCAGCGACCACCGATGACAAGTCTGTCTTAATATGACTATCAGTGAATAGCTTTGATGTCTGTGTTTTGTTGTCACTGCAAAAAATCTTCAATGAAGAAATCATCAATAACTTGACCCACAAAATTTGCGGACTCGAATCAAAAAGTCACTTTGTTGTCAGAGAAAATCTCATCTCTTCAATAAACTAGATAATTCTACTTGATGCAAATCTGAAAAATACACTAGCGTATTTCTTCTAACTCAGCCTTTCTTGCTCGGCTTGGATTTCAATGTCCAAAACTCTGGCCATATCTGCAGCGCCTTGCGTTTCTCTTTATGTGAGCAGGTTAATGACCTGTTTCCAGCATCTTCATCATTCACAAATAGAATGCCAGCGCTATAGGAACGGCTCCATCCATGAGAACTACTCATTCGGGAAGAAGCCCATGCCGATGATCACGATGGGCGTAACGTGAAGAAGCTCTTTTTTTTTTTTTGGTTCGTTTAACTATATATCCAGGCCAGCTCATTATGTCACATAATTAGGTCATGTTAACAAGTCACAAGCAATGTAATTCAAGCTCGTACCGTTTATGCCGTGTCAGCAAGACTCAACAGTCTTTTTTTTACCAAGGACTGCGTTTGTTACAATTAAATTTTAAGAACCAAAACGACAATTCTAAAATTTCAAGGACTAATATTAAAATGGGTCAAAATTTAGAGAATCAAAAATTATATTAATCAGTTTTTATTATACACTACCTTGGTCCTATTTATAAATTTTTTTTTAAACTATAAACAAGATCTTATAAATAAGATCAGAAACAGTGTTTATAAAAAAAAGTAGTGTTCGACAATACGATTATTTATTTATAATGTACTCACAATTCAACATTTAAATATATTTTTCATGTGCATCCGGCATTTTTAATTTCATTTACAATGCATTTAATACTGTAGATAAGATTATAATACTTAATATACTGAAAAAATAATATCAGGATATTACATGCATCAACAAAATAATATTATAATGCTAAATGCACTGTAAGGATACTATTTTTCTGTTTACTTATTTATGATTACAGTTATTTTTTTTATCTCCATTTTATTAACGGTGACAAAAAATTTGCTACACTAATTGTTTTTTAAAATAAAATTGTATAAATATTTTCCAAAGGCCGGGAGTATAGTGAGGTGGGAGAAGTGACCGAGTGAGTGTAAAATGTGGACAAGATTGGATACGACATACGTGCGGGCGTGCGGCGAAGTGAAGGGGAGAGGGAGTGGAGGGAGAGTGAAGAAGCGTCTAGAATGAGAATCACACGCATGGGAACAAGCGAGATAGCTGTATCCAGACCATGAAGTACGGCGCCCTGCCTCCACTTGTTCCTTCTTCAATTCCCCAACATGACGTCATCTTCTCCCTCCTCCTCTAACTCACCCGGCGCCTGCCCCCCACCCGCTCCGTCCTCCGTCCACGTCAGCACCATTTCACCATAAAGCTGCCCCGCAGGCCATGATTCCAGATTCTCGTGTACGTTCATTTGTGCACTCAAAAAGTTGAGTCCAGTTTCATTCAAATTTTGAGCCTCTGCGATGTCGGAAATATCTTTTTCTTTTTTTCAAGTTAAAAGACATATTAATAGTGCAAAATTATAGGTGGATTCAAATTTATGAAATTATCCTGGTTATTAATATAATACCTAATTATTAAATTAATTTTAATTTTAAATAGAAATTTTTTTATAATTATTAATTTTGATACTTTCTCAATCATAATCAAGTAGGAAAAGAAAGAAAAATATTGAGAAAGATGATTACGAGATTTTTAAAAAGAATTATATTTTTTCTAATTAACTAATTTACCTAGTTTTTTTAATTTAATCCAATTAATTAAATTGGTTTTATATAAAGACAAGAGAAGTGGTATTTTGTCTCTAAAGAGGCTTTTTATGTCATGAGACTAAAAAATTATTTGTTTTGAGAGAAAAATGAAAGAGGGACAAATTTTAAAGAATTTAATTTAAAATGATGCAGATGTGATTACAAAATTTGTAAAAAGAAAATAATTCTCGTGAATTTAAATGAAGCTCATATGTTGATCATGAGGTGTTGAAGTGTCGGAGTTTTTTGAATGGTTATTTAATTTAGTTTTGATGATTTTTACACAGCTCTATTCATTGCTTTGTATTCAAAAAGGCTAGAAAAAGCCCTCCATCAAAGTTTATAATTTCAATAGGGAGGGCAAGTACATAAGCCGGCATTAAATAAGGATAAGGGCAATGTAATTTTCCGCTACTATTTATAAAATAGAGAGAATAATTTTTTATCTTATTTATAAATTACTTCATTAAATTTTTAGTATGAATATACTATCTTGCCCTTTATTTATCAAAGTGTAGATAGTATTTTTTTTAAATGAGTATATATTAAATAGAAATATAATTAAAAATTGATTAATGCTCAAGTACAGCTGGATACAACACTGACTCAAAAAGTGTCCAACTCTTTGATCTTTTTAATTTTTTGATCTTTTGGAGTTAAGGTCAGGTGATTCATAAAGGAGGAGGGGGAGGAGCGTGGTCATTGAAGGCCGGAATGCTGTCCGTGAATTTCTCCGCACCCTTCCTGGGTGCCCTTTTCCCCCCACAATCTGACCAAAAGTCAAAAACTATCCGCAAAAGCAAACAACTCCACTTGTGCAATTTGCCCTCTCAAATCATACTCCCTTGACATCACTATTTTTCTTTCAAAAATAAATAATTTTTTTATATTTATCATATTAAATTCTCTAGTCATACATAATATATATTTTATTTTTAAAATATTATTATTTAATTATAAACTCATATAAAAAAAATAACACATGATCACGCATAATGAAAAACAAGTTGAGATAATAAACATAAAAAAAAAATTATATGATTCATTTTCTTTCCCTTCATTGTATTACCCATATCTTCCTCCCGTGAACATCCTCTTTGTTCCCTTTTCGTTGAAGCTTTTTTGAATTTTTGTTGCGAGAATCCTTACACATTTGTCCGGTTCCCCAGCTCATTAATCGTGTTTTATTAATGCAACATGTCAACGCTTACTTTATTTGTATTTCTTGACCGATGGGGCACGGTAAGTTCACGTCTCATTCGGATCCTCAAAATTACATAAACTGACACGAACATGACATCAAGAGCATGTCCTCCGTCGCAGTACCAGGCTGGCCCCTACCTTTTAGCCCTCGCCATCCTCAAACCTTACCTTTCCCTGCTTGCTCGTGTTTATCTTTATCTACTGTGGCTCTTTCCCCCATAACTTATTTGTCAATTTCTAATTCCATTTATTTCAAACACTACTTCCCATGACCAATCAAAATACACCACTTGTTTTTGAAACGGACGTAGCTTATTATTCACTATTTCACCTCATTAGTATTTACATCCACTTGCAATACAATAATGTTAATGAAATAACACAACTTTCGAACCATGCAAACTTCACTTTTTGCCTCCCGCATCCATCGTTCCAGACAAAGTTCCGTAGCAAAGAGCATATTTACAGAAAAAGAATACCAGAAGCTAAAGATGAAAGTATAAATTGAACCCTTCCCCAGTACAAGACGCAGCATTACTGGTTAAGCTCAGCCCATTTGCGTGTGCCCCGACCCGCTTTTGAAACCCGAGGGAACCGGAATTCCATGTCTGCGGCGCACACTAGTTGGAGTTCAGTTTGTCCCAAAGCGACGCGCATTGCCTTTTAGCGAAGCCAACGCGCTGATTTTCTAGATCATACACGACCTCGAAGCCTTGCTGTTGGTAATTCCCCAGCGTGGCCCCTGGTCCGCCGCCCGATTCTGCCTCATCTCCACCGTTCATCAACATCAAACATCCCACCCTCCTTTTCTCCCTTGCTCCATCCCCACCGTACAAGAAGTCGTGGAAGTAGTTCTTCCTAGGAAGCACCACATTGGAATTATTCCCTACAAAATGCAATGTCACGGTCGGGATTTCCACTGTCTTCTTGTCCAAGTAATAGCATGGCCCGAGCCCTGTTTTGTCCTCGACCTCACCCGCACGCTCGTGAACTCGACCAACTCGGCGGTCGAACTCAGCCACCACTGAGTTGTACAAACTCGCCGGCAACATTGTGAACGTCGTGCCTGAATCAACCACCATGCCGCCATTTCCCTCATTATCCACCCTGCTCAGCGTTTTTGATGCAGGGATAGTTCTCTTCCCCACGGAGATTCCAACGAGTCCGACACAGTAAAAATACGGATGCTTGGGATTTTCAAGCATCGATGTGTACACAAATTCATTGGCCTCACTATCTATCCTCTCTTTCTCGTCGGAACGGCCGATAATGAGTGGGCTCGGACGGCGAACGCGTTGTTGATCAAACGAATGTGAGACCAAGCAGTAAGAAAATTGGTTACCCAGCTGAGGAGAGAAGCTGGCTAGCTGTGCAGGCAACGAAAGCAAGCCACGGCCGAAACCAGCAACCCCTGTGGGCTCGCCAAGAGTGGTGTGCGCGCACCCAAATGTAAAGTTTTTCAGAAACAGAGCACCGGAGGATGGTGAGACTGCGAGGCTATCGCGATAGAGGCGAGCGATTAAGCTTCCATCGGCGTAAGCGTAGTAAAATGGCGGGCATGAATAAGAAGAACAATCGGAGGTCTCGATGTTCTCCAATGGGCATCGAGCCATCGCGCAGAGATCAGAGGAGGAGGCAGAGGTATGAGCAGCCGAACATGCAGGTGATTTGCATGAAACGGCGACGCTTCGGGAGATGTTTGGTGGTCTGGTGTGGAGCGAAGGGTTGGGTTTGCCTTCACAGAGTATACACTCGAAAGGAGCACAAGGGAACCAAACAAGGTCACTTCCGGTGTCCATATAGAGAGTGATGGGTTGGGGAGGCTGAGATCCCAGGTTAAAGGAAAGAGTATAATCACTTCCGGGAGATAGCGGAAGAGAGAAATGGCGGTGGTGGAGACGGCGTTGGTGGTGAAAGCGAGCGGCGGAGCGAGCGGAGGTGGACTTGAGGAGGTGGTGAGTACTGTTAAATTGAGTGGGGGAGATGGAGTGTCTTAGAGGCAAAAGAAGCATTCCTGATGCATAAAATGATGAGCATGAAATACAGAACATGAATAAGAGAAACAGAGCAGAGGAATCCATAAGTAAAAAAAAACAGAGGAATGGGTTGGAATCAGAGAATAGGATAAAGAGAGAGATGACAAGTTTTCAAATTTCAGAGATGGCTATGAGAGGAAAGCAAATGAGGCTTATAAGGAGAAGTGAGGGGGGCGATGGTGGGCGCATTTGAGGACAACGTTTTCGTCGTGAAAGTAAAAGTAAGAAAGGTGATCATCATTACGAATTTAATTCAAATTGGCCTGTTAATGAATGAAGTCTGAGGAAAGTGTAAGGAAGGTGGGTAGCACTAAATTTTGATTTGCCTGCTAAGCAAAGAACACCTTCATTCACAACACCCTGATGACTCATCGCTGCATCTTCGGCCCGTTTTTCTCCTTCATTAATTTCCCTTTTGAACTTCTGATGCTTGATGCTTGAGTAAGGAATCTTTATTAATTTTTATTATTAAGTTCCAGCACTGTTAATATATACTTCCAAACAACATTTAAGGCTGCTAGCTGTTGAAAACAGAAGTGCAGGCATATATCCTACCAAAAGAAACAAAACAACAAAAAACAAAAGAAGTCAGGCACAGAGTTAGCTTGAGTATTGAGAAAACACTCATGTTGGAATTGACTAGTAAAGGAATGGCCTTTAGGATTACCCTGGAGGAGTGGTGAATTTTTTTTTTTAACCTAAAGCCATTTCTTGAATACTCTGTATGGCGAAACCACTTGTAAAAATGTGGGTAAGTTCAGTGGTTTTGGGTTTGGCGGCCCCCTTATCAATCTCTATAGATATTTTAAACACGAGTTGCAATGGATTAAATATTAAAATATATCTACATCAATGTTCAGGCCAGGGAGAAAAATGAAAAGCCATCTGCATCAAAGGGCAAGTCAAGCCAATGTATATTTAGCCAGCCGGATTATGATCAATTATTTTGGCGTGTCAGACTAACAAAGGACCCTTACTAGTCAAAAGGATTGTTTTTCCGAGATGACTACTTTGTGGAGTCTAAGTTAAATTGACTTGATGGGTACCATTCTGGCAAGGACACTGAACTGTTACTGCAATCTGTACGTAGAACAGTCTACAGGGGGAAGAGGCCAAGCTTTTTGATTATTTCATATTAAAGACTGTAATAAATTGTTAAGCATCCAAATCGAACAAAATCCACTGAACTAATTAAATTCATGTTGCAGCTGTGGTGGGTTAATAGCCAAACTAATCAAACTGCTTCATTTTATAACCAATTAGAATCAAACATAATTTAGAACGAGCTTGCTCATTGCTAGTTTTGTTTAAGAAGCTAGCAACATAAATATGCTTGAAAAAGTGTAAGAGAATAGAATACAACTATATATATAAATCGACGAGAGGGCCATACGTTAGAATAAGCCGTGGATTCCGGGCTGGTTGGTAATGGTAGGGGATAGCCAATTCAGTGGCTCATAAAAAAGGTCACCCCAATTATTGCCTCTTAACATACAAAAGAAAAATATGGGTTTTTTCCCCTTTCTTTCTGAAATTCCTTATCCTTATATATGCCTGCTGGCTCCACTAATGTTTAGCTTAGTATAGTACGCTTTGCTGTGCTTCTTTAGTGCTGGGTTTGGTACACAAAACTGGCGTAGAAGCGCTCATAATTATTCCAATTCCTATTTATTGTAATGAAATGGTCAACAAATATATATTAAAAAGCAGGGGATTGGTGTCTTTTGCAAAGGAAAGATAAAGGCATCATCTAATGAGTCCTTACCTAATGGACGGTACACCAATCCTACGAATTAAATTAGTATGAAGAGCCTGCTTCTGTCTGCCAGCATTAATGCGAATAGTTAGGAAGGATATGAGGATCTTATGCAACAAATATTGGTATTAGTATAATGCTTCCAAATGTGTTGTAGGCCATCCCCAGAAAGAAGATGAAAAGATATATTCGTCCAGAAGGCTCCAATCATTCAATTATTACTTGTCCCATTTCTGGAACATACAGTTCATCTCCCCCATTGCAACTTCTTTTATTCATACCCACATTTAAATTGTGGACCAAATCCTACCGCTTTTTATTCTTCTATTGTAAGAGAAAACCGGGTATAAAAATTTATGCTTTGCAGAGAAGCTGAGAAATAATCTATCAACAATAGTACGGGTCTGTTTTGGCCAGAGTATAAGATGTCGTAGAGTATTAAGTAATCTCAAATGATGAATACCCTTTGTTCCGGGCTCTCAATTCAACCACGGATTGGAAAGGAACACCATATCTTTCTTCTTCCTTCTGTAAAAATATCCATGCCCCGTTGGAAACACGGGTCATCAAACGGCTATTGACGTTGACGCTGTCGTGAATTTGAAAGTGATAGAATAGAACTCTCTCTCTTTTATAACCTTTTTGTATGGATGCTTATGCTTATTGTAAAAATATCTGCGTGGCAGGACATTCAAATGGAAACTACAATTTAACCGCAAGCAACAACATATTTGAGCCATACTTAGTAATATGAAAGCGTGTAAATGAGAAGTTACAAGGTTTAGTATCATGCAACCTTAAGCCATTAGTGTCTGCCCCTTTATTTTTTTTAATCAAAAGCACTAACATATTTGAGAAGCTGGCAGATGAAGAAGGCGCAAAATACATTGTTACTTGCCCGTATAATGGACTTTCCTGGTTCTGACCAATTATTTTTCTTTTGGCCAAGACCGAATAATTTACCTTTCACAATCTCGAGTCTGGACCATATGCTGTAAACTATCCATAAATATTAACATCATAAGAATCAGTGATTCTGTAGGCTGACGAAATAAACTCGCATTAATAGCAAAAGAGTGATGGAGGACGAAGGCACTACAATCATGCCCACGAATGTGTTATAACGTAGTAATCTGCAACGCACGGCTGTAATGAAGCCATATTGACGCCCCATGTCAACGTCAATTGCTTCATATAACCCATTCTCTTCTTTTCTTCCTTGCGTCTTTCAATCGTGTCGGCGGCTACATTTTGATCAACTTTCTCTTGCCACGTCTATGTCTAATGTTTTTCAACCAGCGACACCTATGCCGCTGAATAATTTAGAGCTCAATCATTGTCTTCGTGCGAGTAATCTGCATAATAATGGACCCCAATAACTTGCATATTATTCACGCACGCCATATCTCTGACACCACTGGAAATTCCAGATTCTCCATTTCCGTAACTCTGAATTATAACAAGCAAGGAGAAACATGGAAAGAAAAGCGGCAAAATATTGAGTGGCTAGAGTAAATAGCAGGCCTTTTATCCTATTCTTTCAATTCCTTCAAGATAACCACTGGCAGGTCGCCAGCATAACACGGTGATGGTACTCAAGACATGATTACATATCTCTAATTCAGGCAACCTTGTTGCATAGAATTATACAAATGACGAGTCAAGAGAGAGGTAATTATAGACTGGCTTATAAGGTAACTACCACCGTTAAAGCATCCTTAGAGTTCCAATTTCATGCTGAATGAATACTCTAGTACACCAGTAACTTCTCTGTTTCTGTAGGCCAGGGTATTCCGTGTACGCTACATAAACAATAAGTATCTTACAATTGATTCTGCTCTGCATGTAGGATGAATATTACAATGTACCATCATCTACAGGTTTTTCAGTGTAACTTCAACCACAAACATTATTCATCAGCTGATTGAAGAGAGTTACGTTTAAAAGGGATCAAGAGTATCAGGCATCTTAAAACTATGGAAAGCCAGGATTTAATCAGTAATTGCAAGACGGTTGTAAATTTCAGGGAACAGCGGCCACAGGCTTTATCTTCTCCAGGAGCTTGTCTGCTTCAAGAAAACCAAGTGATCCCAAAGACAAGTATTTCATGCATTTCCATCTGTTTTCATTAAGGGAGCGGTAAGTATCCATGCAACAAATCGGACAAGTTTAAGCATAAAGTAACCAGAAGGATAAAGATTACTATCAAAAAAAAAAAAAAACCAGAAGGATAAAGATAGTATACCTGGGTGTATAGGGTAGTGCCAAGCAATGGAGGTGGAGGTGGTTAACAGAATTCAGTGGAGGCTGGTGAAAGCCAAATCTGTCAGAAGAACATCATTGTAATGTTTAGTCTAAGTACCGCAATCAAATATAGGTCCAATCAACCTAGTAGTTCAGACCAATGCTGTGATGTGCTGCAAATTCTTGTCCAAGTGCCTTTAGTGTGTTCATAAAGGCAACCGAATTATGAACAAATGACCTTTCAACCTTCTAAATATCTCTAGAACCCACTTTCTCTTTCTCTCCAAGTAAACTTTTCATGGGTAACCCAAAATGTTGATAGAAGATATAGCGCATAAAGAGCATATTCAATAAATAAAAAGAGATTACCCCTAAAACTTTTGTGAAATAGCCGTATTTTCTTTAACTAATTATTGACAAGATATAGCCAAATTTCTATTCCATGTTTTATACACAAGCAACTACAAGCAACCCTACGATTGTAACATAATAGAGAGTACAAACTACCCACTATACTGTTACTGAGTAGATTTGGCAGAAAATTAGACACCATCAAATGCCATTAAACAAAGTTAATGTAAAGGATAAAATTATAAAAGATTGCTTTGGAATACATTGTCAATATTTCCAATGAACAGGTGGGAGGAAACGTAGAGACTAACATCTTCGATCAGCCTGATAGTGCAAACATGAGAAGAAACAATAAGAAGCATACTTTGTGCAAAAGGAGACAGTACCTGTGCTGCTTGGCCAGAGGTGCATCTCTAAGCAATAACATTTTCCCCACGTCTGACATATGACTCACTGGATGGAGGAAGTAATCCTAACATTAGACTTGGAAGCGTCCATGAATATGCTATTTAAACACTAATAGTTGCCGCAGCCATCAGTTCCTTTACCTAAAGAATAATCTTCAACTTTTCTATGGAGATCTTTAACAGTAGGAATGTGCTCCACAGGAATAACTAAGTAATGCCTAAAAGGTTGGCCATCAAGTTAGTCACCTCAATAAAGGATAAACTATGCAAAAGCATAACAACTATTAACAAGTAAAAAACCAAACAAGGATTGAATTATTTATAAAATCTGTCAAGATAGAACCAGCACACAACGATAGTAAGCACAAATGCTGAACATCCCCAAATTTTCCATTTCACTAGTTTGTCTAAGGATATAAACATCTTTATTTGGTATAGATATTTAAATACTGAGTTAAAGTCATCCTTTTGTAATTGATGATCAAGGAAATATTCTCTTATCAATCAAGGTTAATTAGAATGCGTGTTGAGGCATTTAAGGATAAATATTATCAGGCAATAGTATGGCATCATCAAGATTAGTAATAGATCCGGCAACTTACTAACTCATACATGTGGAGACAGAGCACAAATTGAAAAAGAGTTTTTTTTCCTAATTATTCCAGCATTGTGTGAGACACAGAATTCACACAACCATAGCTACAACATACGGCCTTAGTCTCTTACTGCTGGTAATCAGACAAGAATTGGTGGCAAGGTCTCTGGCTCTCTGGGACAATTAACCGGTTTCACATATGAAGAAAAAACATTTTGACAGACAGTGTTCATCTATCGTTTAATACTCTAATCCCCTTACTTAAAACCTATTTGAGATCTTCAGTACAGCTTATTCAATTATTTAAATAATTAGATACTCTGATTACTCAGTTAAACTAGCTTTGCTATAGCTAACTGATCAGCCGATGAAAAAGAATACTTTACAAGCGCTCAATTTGAAATGATTACATTGGTTCGTGAATTTATAAAGGGGAAAAGATAAAAAATAGATGAAGACGGAACAATTACAGCCACGGAAGTCATTATGAATAAGTTAAACAAAAGAGAAGGTAAATCTCAGTACCTGAAAGCTGATGGATTGATGTCCTGAAATGCCACAACCTTGTCATCCTGCAATTACAAAATTCAATCAGAAGGGGGAAAAGTCGGAATCCCAACTGGGATGATAAAAAGGACAAGAAGACGAAAAAAAAGTCAGTTTTTATGCGGGGCATTTCACGCCATCAAACAATCAGAGAAGAATAAGAGAAAATTGCGAAAATGATGAGAGAGAGACAGACGGCGTGGAGAATAGTAGTGGATGTTGATTTGCGCGCAATGTCACAAAAAATGCAGGATGCTGCTCCTGCTCCCGCCATTATTTGCCCTAATGCTGCTTCATTACGCTTTCCCTCCTTTACGGCTGGCGGGCTGCTTCTGGCGTTGTAAGTTGTGATTATAACCATCCAAACTGAATTTTGATACTCTTGTTCCCAACTCATTCATTGAGATGCTTGTTGACTTTTCTTTTAAGAAAAACTTCATTCAATAACAGAAAGTAACTTCTCTGAAGTACTCATCCGGTTTTTAATATAGGATTCAATTATTAATTTAGTTTTGATTCTAAGACCCATTTTTTATATTTATCAATTTTTTCTAAATTATCTTTATAAATACTCCTTCAACCATAATTAAGTAGGAGAGAAAGATGTGATATTAAGAAAGATAATTATGGTATTTTAGGAAAAAACGTGTCACATTTCTTATAGTTAACTAACTTATCTAACTTCCTTAATCTAATCAAATTAGTTAAATGGGTCTTATATTAAGGATTGGAGGAGTATGTTGTTTTGTAGATTTTTGTTATCTATTTAATAACTATGTTTCATTTAAGTTGAATTTTTGTTCATTTGTTTTTGGTGAAAAAACAGTTACCCCTGGAATGTGCATTGACTCAATGGAAAACATTAATGTTTCAACCAAATTATAATTCAAGGCCAAAAAAACCAAACTATAATTCTTCATATGTATGTATGTAGATGGGCGGCTTATAAATGTTTTCAAGATTTTGTTGGCCAATAAATGTTTTTAAGATATTAATATACATGACGAATTTTTATTTATTTTCTAAGTTAACATTAAATTAATTGATAACAGCGAGCAAAATTTTTTTAAAATATTTATTTAACGCGTTAGAATTAAGAACCTGACCATTACTTTTGAGGATTTTGAAAAATAATTTGCAAAAATTCCAATAATAATAACTGTTTTAATATGCTGTGGTCATTGCATTTCATCCTTGCCATGCATTTAAATGTTCCTTGAAGTAATTGACTGGGTTTGAGTTTAGCGTTTCCTTTTTCTTTTCTTTTTGGCCGTAACTGAATTTAGTAATTGATACCATATGGTTTTTTTCCCCGCCATCCATAAATAATTATTGTGGAAAATAATATTGGTCATTTTATGGCGCTAATTTCCGCCGATTTGGGTGCTGAAAGCATCTATGAGCCTTCCGTCGCTTTTTTTTTTTTGGTCAAAAGAGCATTAAAAAAAAACAGAATAAAATCATATACAGCCATAAGAAAATCGACCGAAGCAATAATTTTCTTCTTGAAGTAAAGAATACGATTCAGGTTGAGCAACCGGGGAAGTGTTAGGAGGGGACGCCGTCAGCCGGACCCTGACCATGTCTTGTCTTCCTCTTCAATGGCTACTCTGTTCCCCAAAACCCTACTTGCTAGTCGGTCCCTTTTGCTCCTGCCCCTACTAGCTCGAGTCCATTATTCACTATCTGCTTTACGAACCATGAGTTCCGGGTCTACTCAGCGCGTCTTCCAGCTTAAGTTAGATCCCCTGACCGGTAACTCAGAATGGGTTGTGATTGAAGAAGACGAGGAAGAAAACTTTGCACAGAAGTTTCAGCAACCTCTTCTGGCCATGACCTCCTATTTAGACATGCTCAATGATTCTAGGAGGAATAGAGCTTTCCGGGAAGCCATTGAAAAGACCATCACCACACCTTGCCACGTCCTTGACATCGGGTATTATCACTGTTAACATAAAATGTTGCATAATGTTATCTCCATCTCATTCGCTATTGGACTTTAGATACGGCATGATTCAACCAATGTTGATGAAAATTGCCATTTAGAAGAATTATGCGATGATAAAATCTGTGCAGTGCTGGCACTGGACTTCTATCGATGATGGCTGCACGAGCTATGGGCTCGGGTGACCGTGACTCAATCACGCCTAGTAGCAACAAGGGGATGATAACTGCATGCGAGTCGTACCTTCCAATGTTAAAGTTGATGAAAAAAGTTATCCGCTTGAATAAAATGGAAGGCAATATCAAAACCATTAACAAGCGCTCTGATGAACTCAAAGTTGGCGTCGATATTCCGTCGCGTGCAGATGTACTTGTAAGTTGCAGTAGCAATACATTGAAGTCAAGATAGAATTTTATGTTCTTTTTCTTCATATTTAACAATCGCAGTTAGCTTTCTGCACGTAAGATGATATTGAGAACGTTACGGCTTAGGGTTCAAAAGACTGAGTCTTGTGTCAACCCATCTGTTAGTTGCTTCGTTATAACTAATTATCGAATATTTATATATAGTAGAACTGACTGCTGGTTTCTCATAAGTTGTTGCATAATCAAGCAAAGCCTGGCACGTTCTCTTCTTTATAAAAATAAACCACGGTAATATTTATTGCAGGTAAGCGAGATACTAGACTCAGAACTACTAGGTGAGGGGCTTATACCAACGTTGCAAAATGCATATGACATGTTATTGGTGGAAAATCCTTTAACTGTGCCATATCGAGCAACTACTTATGGACAGGTGCTTCAGGGAACCTTCAAATATTCTGCCTTCTCATGAATTCTTTTGGTTTCAAGTAAATTATTAAAGGATATTTCATATGATCCTATAAATTTGTTCTTCGTTAAATTCTCTCTCTTTCTTTTGTTTCCAAGTCTCACAAGGTTTGTGCATCTTCCCCCTTATCCCTCTTTCAGCTGGTTGAAAGCAGATTCTTGTCACAGCTGCATGATTTGCGTAACAATGAAGCAAGTGTATCTGATGGCATTCATCTTATCCCTCCTGGACTAGATGGTGTTTTGAGCATCAAACACCAGCAATATGCCATGTATTGCAATCCAATAAGAGAAGAAATAAAACTGGTAACTTAATTTATAATTTTTTGACTGGCTTCATAAAAAAATTGCTTCTACTCAAAGATCCATCCAGTTTTTATAATTCTTTGACTGGCTTCATGAAAAAATTGCTTCTACTCAAATTAAGATCCATCCAGCTTTCAGAGCCCTTCAAAGTTTTTGAATTTGAATTTTGGAAACGGCCAGAAAGTCACGGAGAAACTGAATTGTGGATAAAGGCAACTAATGATGGTAGAGTTCATGCTGTGATCTCGTGGTATTGATCTGTCTGATGTAATATTGTGTTGCTAATCCTATTTCAGCATTTACAGTTGGTTAATAGCAGTTCCTGTTATCAGGTGGGTACTTCAACTTGATCAAGAAGGGACAATCTATTATTCCACAGCTCCAAGATGGATAGACTTGCCAGCAATGACTAGTGAGAGTTTCTTATATTCATGTGTTGCCTTTGGAAATTATATTACAGAGCTAGGGTGTATACTCCTTCCGGTCCTTATAAGATATTTTCTAGAAGGTTTCTGTGGTCTTAAATATAAGACATTTTGCAGGAAGTCTTTTTTTTTTTTTTTTTTTTTTTTTTATAATTTTGGCCAGGCAAGAAGTCAACAACATTAAATTCTTCTTTCCTACAAATGCCCTCATTAATCGCATTTTAGAGAGAGGTTATGTAAGAAAGAAATTAAAGATAATTAAGATAGATTGACTTTAAATAGAGGCTAACTTGGAAAGTAGTGATAATTTTTTTACCATTTTAATGACATGAAGATACAAACTACTTTCCTTAATCCTTGTGAAGCAGTTGGAAGGGTCTTATATTGGGGAGTACGAAAGTAAACTATCACATTATATGAACTATTATGGCCATTAATGTCCTGGAGTCTTCATTAACGTTTATGATGCTACACCAGGTTCCACTGATTGGTGTGACCATTGGAAACAATGTGTTTGGTTTGTTCCTGGTGATGGTATTTCCACATTCAAGGGGGATGGGATTTGTTTGCATGCTATGCATACTGATACTAGGATCTCGTACAATCTAAAGAACCAAACACCAAGGACTGAAGTTTTACAGCACAGATTGAGTGATGCAGATTTGCCAATTGTACTGTCTCCAGAAAGGATTGCAATTTATGGAGACAGAGAGTGGAGGCTTTCAATGTTGAAAACAGTGGAAAGTGTGGTAAGTTGTTCATCCCTACTCTTACTTTTATGTATGGCCTATGCCTTTTCACTATACAAGGAGCAGATAAACTTGCATAAACTCCTTGTTCTAACTTGCTTCATTGACCTTGTGCTGTTTGTTTATTTGAAGTATGATGTATACAGTTGCAGGGAAAAGTTTGCTCGTTATGCTTGGTTGCAGATGATAGTGTTTTTTTACCTCTTCTTGTGGCACATCTTTCAAAGCCATCACATGTAATTTCTTTATTTCCGGGGCTAGGGAGGAAGGGCCTCCAATATTTGCAAGCTGTTTCTGATGCGAATGGTTTATCAAGGGATCGTATAGAAGTTCTTGAAAAAAGGGCGAAACACTTGACCATGCATGATACACATCAGAAAAAGGTAGGATCTCCTTATTCCACTTGCTTACTTTGTCGTGTGGATAATTTGAATGCATGTGTACTTCAAGGTAGTTTAGAAACCCATAGACCACTTATATATTAAACATGAGAACTAATTAATTTAAAAATTCATCTGTGTCTGTTCATTTGTAGGCCGACCTGTTGATGGCAGAACCATTTTATTATGGACATGATGGCATGCTTCCTTGGGAGAACCTGCGGTTTTGGTATGTTTCTTAACAAATATTCTTTTGATGACCACTTTGTTTTGCAGCATTCATTCTGTTGTGGTTTATGAATTATCTCTGCATGTGTAAGTGTTCATTGTGGCATGACCTGATGTTTATTAATGAGTACCTGTGAGGGGTAGATTGTGCTGAAGTTCAGAGTACCGAATAATCTTTTCTGATGTCTCCTGGGGGATTTAACACAAGAACATGAAAAATTTGGTGAGACCAACTAAACAGTCTTGGCTTGATAGTAATAGAATCTACTCCAAGGCTAAAAAGGATTTGAATTCAAATACCAAGTGGAGTGAAATACCTATATGAGACCATTGGTACTGTAGACGCTGAAAGTGCTGTAGATTAGTAAATGATGTGTTTATTGCATGTGTGACATGGTCATAAGACTAAATTTTGAGAAAAAGTCTCTACTTGAATTTTGAGGTGTGATCTACTTATATGACATCTGTATTCTGGTACTTCTGCCTGCTTATTTGGCATTTGAAAAATTGTTGGCCCGATCATTAAATATATTATTGCTGATCTTGGGGAGCCTGTATTTGACTAACTGAGCTACTTCTTTTATAATATTGTGTTAAAGGAAAGACCGGACTACTCTTGGTTCTATCCTCGCTGAAGATGCTGTGATTATTCCTGGTAAGGGAATACTGAAGGCTTGTGCCATGTCCCTTCCTGTGAGTTAACTCTTTTTCACCCTCTTAAACTTTGATATACAAAAACTCACATAAACGCATGGTGATTTTTGTTGCTTAAAAATCAACTGTTTTTGCGAAGTTAACTTGTTAAGGGGACAGGAGTCACAGGGCCTATGTTGATTGGTGGCATGGCTGCATGATTAATGAGATGAATTTTTTTTCCAGGATCTTTGGAAAAGTCGCTGCTGCTTGAGTAAGATAGAAGGTTTTGAGCATTCAGTAGTAAATACCACATTAGGGGCTTGTGGTTATCTACCTGAATCAGAAGAGACTCCTTGTCTTCCCTTTTTTGTCTGGCAATGCGGGGAATATGAGGTAAAATTTGCTAAAAAGCCTCTTTCGCATGAGATAGTTGAAGATGAAGAAGAAAAGAAGTTTCCACTGTGGAATAACAATCTTGTCACTAGTATTAATGCGGCCTTGTAACAATTTTTCAGGAACTTAGTGAGACGTTTGCAGTCATGGAGTTTGATTGCTCAAAACAAATAGATCTATGTCAAGGAAAATCCCTGGTAATATGAATATGATAATGCCTTCCAAGTTTCAGATGCACTTGTATGGTGCATGATCAGCTGGTATATCCGAGAATTTGTCAGACAAATAATTACTTAGCAAAAGAATTTAGTGACCTTTATCTCCTAACAGTTAAATTGCTTTATTGTATCTCACAGAGCAGCATCACGTGGGTTAAAATTTCCTCTGCCAATAAATGTTTGTGAATGGGAAGATTTCATAAGCTAGGCGTCTTTCTTTATATCTGTTCTGCTCTCATATCCTGCTTTAGAAGAGCTAGTTTAACATATATCTACAATTGCCTAGAAGTCAATCTAACACGTTCTTAACATGAAAAACTGGTACGCTGCAGGTGAAGTTTACTAAGGCAGGGTTGTGCCATGGATTTGTACTGTGGATTGACTGGGTGATGGATTTGCAGAATACTATTGTTGTGTCTACTGGTCCAGGTATGGATCAATTTCCTTCCCCTTAAAAAAGCAGACCGGATGGTGCACTCTTCAAGTACAATGACAGATATGAAACTAATCAAAGGATGAAACATGTTAACTTCAACATCAACATATTTTGTAAGGCATATAAAACTAAAAGGAGCTTTTACTTGTGTGCACTTTGCTCACACTATGTTGTGTGATTTCAGACAAGAGATATTGGAAGCAGGGAGTGAAGCTTCTGGCAACACCTAGAGCAGTAGGACCCCAAGATTCGAGAAATATGGGGGAATGCTGTTCTGCAGTTCTTGAAGCATCCTTTGATCCATCAAATGGGGGGCTCAAATTAGTGCTTGATTTCTCATGATGATGGCCGTTTTACAATATTACGGCGGGAAAGAGTGTGACAATCAGTGGCGGACAAGATGGTCAGCTGACATTGTGAAGTTCTCTGTTTATGCTTTCCTTGTCACTTTTCTAAAGCTGATTCACCTCTGCTGCTTCTGTAAAGATCTGATGGAGTAACTTCAACAGATCCTGAACCAGTATACCACGACTGATAAGGTAGGCGAAACCGAATGCCATCCTCCCATCGGTTGTCTTTGCATGAGAATTTGCGGTGCCTTGAGGGTTTTTTGTTCAATTTATTCAGGTTATTCCGTTAAATTTTTCCCCTTTCCTAATCTTTCTGTTTTCACAATTTCATATGCAGGATCCAAGCTGAGCACCACTACTATCTGTCCGCACTCTGGAATGTTTTGATTGCCATACAAAAAAAGTTCTCAATTCATGGAAAGCATAGAATTGTAATTTATGACGGGTGAATGGCGACAATCAAATATTGGGGAAAAAGCTTACATTCAGTGCATTATATATATATATTGTCAATTACTCATGAAGTAGACGTGATTTTTGTTAATGTAATTTCGGTTACTAACTTGAGAGATGAAAACAAGTTAAAAAGGTGAAAACTCCACTGTTTAGGTTGTCTAGGTACTTCCTTAGGTTACTGTTATTAGCATTTCGTGCATGGTTATTTATAAATAGGAATTTGTTGCCGTTAATGGATAAAAAATTATCATTACAGATAAGAACGCGAGACAAGCCTTGCCCCAGCTTCATCTAACCTACATGTTGGAAATGTGACGATATAATAATTCTTAACAGATAAATAAAACATGCCATACCGGATGGTTGCTGGGCTAAATCATTTATATTAATAATTAGTCTCTTCAAATCTCAAATGCATCTTTTAATCTTAAATATAACTCCTCAATTCATTTTATATCGTAAATTCATAATTTTTTTCTAAATTATCCTTATTATTAGCATATATTAAATAAGTTTTTATTAAGAAATACTTTCAATACAATAATTAAAGGGACAATTTCAATAAGGTATGCAGCACTATGACACTAGTGCAAGCCGTGGGGTCCCCAAACAGGAGGCGACTTTTTCCCAATTATTGACCATCCTAACGAGTAATTTTCAAGAACCCAGGCATATCCATGTGACAAATGATTGTTACTATTCGGCAGCATCCAAGGAACTTTCGTCGTTGGCAAAAAGACGAAGAAAAGAAGAAACTCAGGCCAAAAAAAAAAAGAAAAGAGCCTCATAGTCATAATTATTCACGAGTTACACTAGTTCTGTCGTGTCGTGTTGTGCTTATATCTGGATATTTTATTAGTTTTCATTTTCGGCCTCGCCTTCGGGGAACGAAGGAATTGTATTTTCGTTGAGGCAATTCGCCGGGCACCAAATCGTCCGAATCAACCTGATGGGGTTCCACGTAGTGGCTCTAGTGAAGCTCCACCTGAAACTGAGCTCCCACGGTCTCCGCCCAGCATTGGCTTGGATGGCATGGCCTCTCTCGCTTAAGCTCTTGTATAGTCTGAGAATCGTGCGCGAAGCTTTCTCCGACACCGCTTACTCATTGAGGCTCTCCCTGTTTCAGTTGGCTCAGATTGCTTTCCACAGTGAATCGCTTCCCTACGCCACCAGATTCCGGCGAGCTCTTCGCTTAATTGGTGGAAGAGCCTTCGCTTCCAGACCCGCACAGACCTCGGAGCTTGACCCCTTGCCGGAGAGCCTTCACACACTCTCTCTTCTCTCTCTTTAATCCCCTTCTTTCTCTTCTGTTATATGTCTTGCTTAGTTTGGTTTGGTTATATGTAACTGTTTGTGTCTTTGATCTTGTGAAATTAAAAAACATTTCCAAATTTTCGGGAGGCAGAGATTGATCATATCATGTGTGGGTACAGTGGATCATTCTTTTTCTCCGACGAGGAACTTCGTCAACGAATTCGGATGCGAGTCGGTGCTCTTTCAGTTATGCGGAGATCCTGCGTCACTGTGGCAAGTGGCACCTACGTCGCTGTCTCTGGGGCCCCCGTGTTGGCGAAGGTTTCAACCGAGGCAGGTCTATTTGAGTGCTGCTTCTGTATTTTCCTTTTTTCTTATTTTTTCCCCCTTTTTCATATTTCTCCTTGTTGCTTCTAATTTGTAATTTATATGTAAATTATATTTGATGGCCTTTTTAAACTATATATGCATATAAGAATAGATTGGTATTATTACTTTAATTTGTCCGTTTGATACTGACGACGTGGGTGCCAAACTTTTCCAATAAGGTTGTTGTCAGGAATGCCCCACATTCCACATTTTAGCAATTTTCTGAACAAGTATTCCAGATTTCAAAATCTTATTTAAATCCAACTAAAGAAAATCAAGTTAAATAAAGAAAAAACATTCTTACCAAAAAAATGTCTACATCTGTATAAATTATTGATGCCCCTATATGTGTCAACTATGTTTAATTGTTTTTGTCTCCATCAAATTACATATCTACCTCATGGATTTGTAATCATCAGAGGAAGCCCAAACCCAAATCCCGGACGGGAATATGACTCCCTGCAAAATATCTTTTGAGTTGGACAAGGCCCTTCAGTTTTTATTTTTGGGCCAGAATATATAAAAAGGTGTTCAGGTTTCGAAGGGACACTACTGGATCAAAAGGCCCATTAACTTCAAGAGCTGGATCCCCCGGCGCGGCTCATAACTCAATGTTCCTTCGTCAGAAAGTTCACTCTCCGCTTCTTGAGCCAAGGAAAAACGAGGGTAGTTAAAAAAAAGAAGGAAAAAAAAAAAAAAACTCTGTTCGGCTTTTCCCTCCTCTGCTGCAGTTCTGGCATTCCACGTCTCATCTTTACCATCTCCACACCGTCCTTGTCCTGATTGTGTCTACCGGGTGAGTTCGATTAAGCAAACTCGGCAGAAAACCCGAAGGTCGAACCTTAAACTCCGCCGACGCATTTCGATTCCTAAAGGTAAGATACATGGAGTCCTGAGTCTACTAATTGGTGCGGGGCATGTTTTCTTCTTCTTCTTCTTATCTTGAAAAATTTCCCACAATGTTTTTTGGGAGATTTCCATAGGGAATAGGGATGGGGTTTTCAATCTTCATTTTGCTTCGCGTGATGGATGTGGGAAGAACTTAATCGTGTGTCGATTATTATCTGTGCGATTGTCTTCTTCTGTGCTTCGTATCCAGGAGGACTGGTTAGAAGCAATGACGACAGCAGCTCGCCCCACTTGGGCACCTGCTAAAGGTGGCAACGAACAAGGTGGTACTCGAATTTTTGGTCCATAACAAAAATACTCATCAAGGGACCTTGCCGCGCATACCACTCTCAAGCCAAGGTAGGGGCTTTTGTTGGTTTTGTTCAGTAAGGTTTTGGATCATTTTTATCTTAATTGTGGTGATGATGGTTGCATTTCCTTCAAAGTGCCCTCCAAAACCAAGTTCTCAGTTTTCTCCCTCACCAGTACATGTGCCTTTATTATTGTGCTTCTTTATGTAAAATTGTTGTTCCTTGTTAGTTGCGCGAGTTTTTTTTCTTTCTTTCTTTCTTTCTTTTTTTTTAACCTCTGTCTGTTGTATATTGGCATTACAGATTGGAGTTTATACTGATGTAGTTATATGGAAGTTCCAAATATGTTATACTGAGTTTTTTTCCTTGCCTGAATGTGATACTGGTATGTCAAGGTTTTTGGACATTTTTGTCATTTCTTTGTAATTTATTGCTTTGGTACTCATTTTCGTCAAGCACTGTGAATGAACTTGTCAAGATATGATATTGCATAATGTGGTTGCTGATCTTGTTGCTTTCCTTGCATTTCCAGACATGATATTACCAAATGTGGTGAGAGCTCTGAAATAATTAAAGTGGGATTTTGCCTTTAACTGAAATTTCTTGATTTAACATCTTTTCATCTAATTTTATCATTGAAAATTACTTGTAGGCATGGTTGGTCATGAAAATCTAGAAAGATATGAACTTCAGAGATTAAACTTATTGGTCAACTTGTATTTATCAGTACACATTGGCAGTGATCGCTTGAACATGCTAGTTTAGGTTCCACCTATGCGGCTGTTTTGCTGATACTTTCAGATCCTTGACCAGTCTTGATTTTGTTAAATTCATGGGTATATGATTTAAGTTACTGTAAACCCAGTTTTACGTTTAGTCTTTAGGTTAGTCTTTACGCTCCAAATACTAGTATTAACAATGATAAAATCTCGATGTTATTCTGACGAGAGAAGTTATCTGCGGAACTGATTCTATTGATGGGCGATGCACAGTGATAAGGGGTACTCATCTCAAATTTAGCTATGAAGTTATTGTTTTGGTTTTTTATAATAAAAAACCTAAAGATAGTGTTGGATCCAAAATGGTTTCTTTCTTTCCCCAGAGGAGAGATTGCATTTCCATGTGAAGTTTATCACCTGTGTGATTGATGCTGCATTTGCTCCTTTTCCAACATTTACGTATTTGAATGAGTTATTTCTTTCCTAATGAATGTAAATCTACCTTGCTAGGAAGGAAGGGCAGGACACTCAGGAGGAATTGCAGAGAAGGAACCTACGTGATGAGCTTGAAGAGCGTGAACGAAGGCATTTCTCCTCAAAAAATAAATCGTATAATGGTAAAACATCAGTCATAAGTGGCTTTGTACATTTAATCATTCCTCTAAGATCTGAGCATATTCTGTTAGGCAAGCTTTCACTATTTCAACTGCAACATATATTGGCAGATGACAGGGATCGTGGAAAGGGGAGCCATCTTTTGTTGGAAGGTATTTTATTTGATCTTCTGTTATGTTTGAATTTAATATTGTTGATACCGTAACCCAAATATAAAACGAATGCATAATGATTAATTTCTTTTTTGGTGTTCTAATTTTGATTCATCTATACTTACACAGGGACAAAGAGGGAAACAGAAGATCGTATTGTTCCACGTAGTGTAGATGCAGATGATTCTGATGTTGAAGTCAAAAGTGATGACGAGAGGTGAATAATGTTGCAGGCACTCTTCAACATAATTGTTTTATCTTCTTGTCCGCCAGAAAAGTAGTATTCAATCGTTTCACATCAATATATGGTTGTCACAATTGCTTCTTTCATCTAAAATAGTATGTAATAAGGTGCCTCTACTGTGTCAATGATGATGAAGAAGATGATGACGAGGATGACACTGAAGCTTTGTTGGCTGAGCTTGAACAAATAAAGAAGGAAAGAGCAGAGGAGAAGCTCCGTAAGGTGAGTGAAGCTTATTTTTTCTGATCATTTCCCTAGGTGGTTGTAACTCACTAGTGAAGCTCTGGAGATATGTTTGCTTCCTGTTACCGGAAAATATATATTGTCCTTATACAGGATCGGCAACAGCGGGAGGAAGAGCTTAAAGTAAAGGAGGCTGAGCTTCTACGAGGAAACCCATTGCTAAATAATCCAACATCCTTCAATGTGAAAAGGAGGTTTGAATCTTTAAATTGAAATAGCTGTGCGTTAAATGAAATCGGGCGTGTATTTGGTGTGATGACCTGTTTTTAATACTTGGGTTGGCGTAGGTGGGATGATGATGTGGTGTTTAAGAACCAAGCCCGCGGTGAAAGCAAGATGCCCAAGCGATTCATCAATGACACCATCAGGAATGACTTCCATAGGAAATTTCTGCAAAAATACATGAAGTAAGCGTTTGCGTGGAATCAAAGAAACTTGGCAATTTCCAGCGATCCATCGCATATCAATGTATGATTCACTGTTAATGGATGTTGATACTTTCTGATGTACTGCGATCTGACATGCAAGTCATATAATGATGTGAACTGGCGATGGTGGTCCGTTTCAGTCGGTGCCAAATCAAAGAATACAAGAGATCCGTACTTATCCAGGTCGCTGCGCTTCAATAATGGGATCAGTCCCAATCCTACTGGGTTTTGTGGTCATTATTTTTTTATGTATGAGAGTAATAGAATGTAAAATATGTAAAGTGAGGAAGATGAGGACCTGCCCAATCCTGCAGGCCACATTTATCTGTCTTGGTGGGTCCGCGCTCGGTCGTAGCCCCTAACGTTGTCTTCGGATAGGCCCTTAACGCGGAACCTCGCTGTTGCCTAATCCTTGTGCTTCACGTTGTTCCCTAATTCCTACGCCTTAAATTAAAGACTTGTGCCTTGCTAAGTGTGTTAGTCCAGTAGGCTCTTATTTGTGCAATAATTAACCTTGTATGGTTCCGTAAAGGGATAATAATTATATTATAATAAATATAAAAACGCCGCCCAGTGATGGAATGGAATGGATGGGTTTCTATTGAATATTATATACATAAAATAGAAATGGACGGTCTCACCTGAAATGGACATTAATAAACTCCTGGGGGCCATGCTTAGTTCCTCTTGCGCTATGCACGTTTTGTATTCTTTATATTCATTCATGTTTCGTTTTCAGAAATTTTCGGATTGCCATTTACAATGAGCAATGTCTTGTGGTTAGTTGATTGGTATATATTTGAATTCTTTTTATAAGATAGAAACAACTGAATTGTGCAAATAAAAATTTATTAAAATTGATTAATGACAATAAATATGTAAAAAAAAATACAACTTATTTTTTTAAAAAAACATCTTTATTGATGGAGAGGGTGGGTGAGAGAGAATAAGTGAAAATACATGAAATGTTTAGATCTCTTTAAATTGTAGCTTATAAAAATGATGAGACTGATTCAAAAAATTGTAGCGAATCAAAATGAGTGCAGGAGGAAATATTATTAGCATATGTGAATGTTGACTTTTAGCGAGATTAATTGACACCCGCACATCAGATTCAATTATTTCCACGGCTGATTAAAGTTTGTGTCCGATTGAGACGGAGCTATTAAAATTTCCCAATCACTTCAAGCATGCCATAAGTGATGAAAAAAATAATGTAAGTCAAACTTTAATTGATTGACCCTGATATAAAATCAAGGCCTCAGATTTAAGAGAGAGAAAGCTCTTCTTTTTCTTTTATTCGAATCTGGACATTATTTGTTGCTGTAATGGGATTTGGTGTATTAGGACCGGAGGAGCATTTAATAGTAGTTCTTGTGCTGAGTTGAAAGCATTTTGGGAATTCTCGGGGCAGCTGGAACAGTGGTTTGGGGAGCGGTAGATGAGGGCCATACAACAGCTAACTGTTTTTTTTTTTTTTTGACCGAATACAATAGCCAACTGTTAGCGTTGCACATTTTCGCTGCTTAGGCAATTATATGTGCTCCGATTCTTATTATCAGTTTTTGGCAGAACAAATTTTTGGTCATAAATATAATTCTATTTAGAAAGTTATATTAATGATTATTTTTAATTTTATTCTTATTTACTTTTCAAGAAAGAAGGTGAAATATGATAATGATTTGTAAACCAATGTATGTACCTAAAGAAAGAGAGAATTTTTAAAACATACTTAATAATTTAATTATCAATTCTTGACACGTGGGAATTAGCTAAAGTGCTAAGCACTAACCATACGAAGGTAGGATGCGTTAGGGTAGGGACGTGGGGCGGTATGGCGCGGGCATCATCCCTTCGGCTTTATGCGGCGCAAACGCCGAAGCCGGCTTGACCATACAAACAATCGGCTTGCATTTAAATAAGATTATTCTTTGCAACAATGATGGAACTTTTCCCCGAAAATAAGGCACAGCCCCGTCAATTTCATTTGTCTCGCACGTAATAAAAGAAGTCAAAGAGAAGTATGACGAGCAACATATCTTCTCTTTGCTTTTCCGCTTGGGGTTGCATTATTCTTTCTTTCTTTTCTCTTTTTTGGCAAGTGGGGGTTGCACTATTCTTTCCTCGACTCACTCCAACTCCTCCTTTTTATTTTATTTTATTTTGTAATATATTTTTTTCCTCGGGGTGTTGCGTTTCTGTGCATGCACAATGCTCGCTTTAATTTAATAAAATAATACGTATACACTTTTCAAGGGTCTGTTTAATGCGAAGGAAATAAAAAGAGAAAATTTTTTGATGAACTTATTTTAAAAAACTAGAAAAATGGAGTTATAAAATTTTACTGCAGAAAAATATAAGAAAAAAAAATTAATTAAAAAATGTTAACCCTTCTACTTCAATTTTTTTAAATGAGCTTATTAAAATTCCCCTGCCCCCCACCATAAACGCACCCTTAACCTTTTTCGAGCGTGAACCTCCATGAGAAGCTTGCTTTACAATATATATATATAACCATAAATATGGTGCATCATTCACGTTTTGTTTTCTTTTTCCATCTAACAAAGTTTATCATAATCCACAAGATGATGAGACTTGCGAGATGCTGAGAATATGCCCATGCACCGTGTGAGATCCCCCCCGGGGTCATCTCAAGCAAATGAACTTCTCTATTTAAATTATATTCTTATATTGACTTTGTTTTCCTGACTTCCATCCTAAATGCCTTAATTTAATTCTGCGATTTTAACATAACAAATATCAGCAGAAAAATTTTCGGAAAATTAAACAATTTTTAAGTTATAGATCACCAATAGCATGGCTATTTTTTTGCTTTTTTCCCAGATTCCATGCAACAAACAAGTCCTGATACAGAAGAAGTTTTTAATTTACGGGATGTAATGATGCTTTAAAATAGAAAATAATATATAATAATGCGGTTTAGGCATCTTTCGTTATCATTTTGCCGTACTAATCTCATTCGCCAATCAAGCAAAGGCAAGATTATTGAGATCCTACGTAGTCTCCCTAGAAATTGATAACAGCAATGACTCATCTGCTTCTTTGTTCTCTGGTATATAGAGGTGAGCCAAAACCGAACCGTAACCGAAAACCGCACCGAACCGAACCGAATTCAATTTCGGTTTTTCGGTTCGGTTATTCGGTTTCGGTTTATATTCGGTTTTTTATTTTTAAACAATTCGGTTTCGGTGTTCGGTTCGGTTAGTAGAAAAAAATTTCGGTTATAACCGAATAACCGAAATAAATATACCATATAGTTATATTTAATAAATATTATCATAAAAATATATATGTGGGTATATATGAACTTTTTAAATATATTATATTCAATAAATATGGTTATAATAAATATATTATAATAAATCATATGAATCATGAAATATTTATTAATTAATAGTTGTAATTGTATTTTATTATTATTTTAATTTAAAATCATTTTTCATATTTATATATTTCGGTTAATCGGTTAACCGAACCGAATTTTCGGTTAATTCGGTTTCGGTTAGTTCGGTTATTCGGTTTCGGTTCGATTTTTAAATTTTACTATATTCGGTTATTCGGTTAGTTCGGTATTACGATAACCGAACCGAAAAACCGAATACTCACCCCTACTCTGGTATATTTGTTAAACTGTTAATGGATTGATATGAGAGAATAATTCTGGACACAAAATTTAATTATTTAGAATCATACTTGAACCGATATAAAAAAAAATGATGATATGATCATACTTATGTTAGCATTAAATAAGGATGGACTAATTATATGTCATAATTTTTTTGCCAGCTAATTACAGGTCATCTATAAAATAAGACTGGAAAGATGGAGAGGAGTAGGATTGAACTTGATAAGGGAAAAATAATTCTGTACGTGTATATATATATTTTTTTCTTTTAATTTTAAATTTAGTATCTGTATATATGTTCTTTTAATTAAATACTTTAATTTTTTTTTCTTTGTTACCACTGTTAATCCCATCATTTTATTTTGTAAGCATCATTAGTTCAGGCGCTAACAGAAGAAAACTGAAACATTTAACCACGAGGGCAAAAAAACACAAATACTAAATTATCTTCTTTTTTAAAAAATAAAACTACCTGCAAAATGTTTTAGGCAGCAACAACATAAAACAAACATATCTTTTTTTAATATAATCCGATCCTATTTGAAAGTCACTTTTAATATGTTTCATAAAAAAAATATTAAATTTTACTAACTCATTTAAAATTCAATAATATTTCAATTTTAACTCTGTTTAATATAAATTATACTTTATATAAACAAAACTAACATAATAATTTATAAAGAATAAAATTGTATGTTCATGTAAAAAATCTGTGTCCTATAAATAAAATAAAAAAATCTTCTCTTTACTATATAAAAAAGATCAAAAGAGTATATAAAAATAAAACAAACACATCTTCAAACCAAAAAAAAAAACCTGAAAGAAATATAAAAGGGGGAGTCCACCTGTCTGAGCTATGAAGGGGCGTGGGAGGCAATGAGTGGTTGACAAAAACCACAATCTGAGTCATATTGGTCAGGGTGTTGTTGCCTCCCTTGCAAACCAACTCCGAATATTTTAAAAAAAACTAACAAAATTCAATTGGAGCGCTTATAATTAATGGCCATTCCTCTTTCCTCCATAAATATCTCCTCACCAATCCTGTAGTCCCGTATTGACCAACGCACCCCTGCCTGTTCATCATCACAGGAAAAAGGGGAGAGAAAAAAAGTTTACACCGCGTTTCAAACATTTTCATGTCAACAAGTCAGCCTCATGTGGACTAACCAAACCTAATTGAATACTAAAATATTAAAAAAAAAAGAAAAGAAACAAAAACTAGTAACGGAAGTTCTGTATGATTTTTGTTTTTTCAAAAACCAATACTCCTTACTAAAATCAAACACAAATATTTCCTTTGTCACCGAAGATACAATTCCTCGGAAGAGGAGCGGATATTGCTACAAAAGGTTATTCGACCTTCAAAGATTATGGCTCGTGACACCGTGAATACTATTAGGGAAAATATGATATGAATCAAGGGAAATAGCCTCCAGAGAAATACTAATAGACAATAACAACTGGTTATCATGGAAACAGATTACTATAGAATAGTAATAAATAATATTAAACAGGGGCGAGACCAGGCAGGTTGGCCAAAAACTTAGAACACAGCAAGTATGTAGCTGTCCTGGTCGTATTTGACAGCCACAATAGGCAGGGAAGATCACATCTGAGAACCTTATAAAAATCCCTACTTCTTTATAGTTAATGAGAAATAATTATCTTTGGGCTTGGATTGATGAAAAACTTAAGAATACTATTTGGAACAGTTTACAGAATATGAAACAAGAATGTGAGAGAAATTTTATCTCGACTTACGTAAAACGTGTTTATAAAGAATTTTTACTGCTGTCCCAAACAAATCTTAAGAGTATTAAACAACTAAAAGTCTAAAACAGGCATCTAGTTCAAAAAAAATTTTGATCCATTAATTTGTAATCCTAATAGTGCTTATGCATATTAATGATAAAAATGCGAAGATTCCTTCTTTGGTAATAAGCGTGAATCGGCCCATCTGCCATTTAAAAGCTTTTGCGTCGGCCCCTTCTCTACTCAGCCCTCGCTTGGTCACTACTTGACAAAGAAAAAGCCTTCCTTCTTTTTCTCTCTCTGTCTTCTTCCCTGCTTCCTTCCATTGATTTTTTCCTCTCACTAACCCCAAAAGAGACTTTGTTTGTTGAAAACCTCCTCTCCTTCAACGCGCTAAACGTGAAGAGTTCCATGGAAGGAAGGAAGAGGAATCACTATTAATATTACCCCGTAGTAGTCCCCACCACCTCCTCTGTGACAGAAATTAGAAACCCAGCACTTCTGGTTTTTCCTTTCCTGCGAGACTCAGCGAAGACGGAGGAATGGGGCGGGCGAGGCAAAAGCAGCATCATCACAATGCGGCGTCGTTTTGGAGATACTTTCTCATGGCTTTAGCCTTATGCTTCGTCTTCTCCACGCCCCTCTGCTCAGCCAGACCCCAGCACAAGAATGCTTACGCCACCATGATGTATATGGGCACTCCCAGAGACTACGAGTTCTACGTCGCCATACGCGTCCTCCTCAAATCACTCGTCGCCCTCAACGTCCAAGCCGATCTCGTCGTCATTGCCTCCGTCGACGTCCCTCTCCGATGGGTCCGAGCTCTGTACGTTTACTCCCTCCCTGCCTGCTTTTTGTATTGTTCTTCAATTTTAAATTATATTCTAGTTTTTGTTATCACGGATGTGGTGGATTGTTGCTTTCAACCTCATAAGCGACTGGTAATTTTCTAGTTCCCTGCTGATTTCGTCGGGGTTCTTGTTCTTGTTAGAAGGGAAGCTTTTGATTTAGGTAAGAAAGCAAAAGGAAGAGAACGTTCTGGTTAATGGAGAGAAAATCAGATGGGGGATTATTGAGATAAGATCATAGGGACCTTAATTTGTTTGCTTACACAGTCACGGCGCACCATGTTAGGATAGTAAAGTAAAATCCTTCAGGAGCCAAAAAAAAAAAAATCGTGGGGCCACAGTGATCAGACACATTAATCAGCCCACTAATCGTGCTGCTAATTTGACTGGGTCTGTCATTAACTTGTGACTTAACTCTTGAGGACTTAGCTTTACGCGTGAATTACAGTGAGTCTTAAGGCCCTGTTTGGATGTCCCTCCAAACCATGGTTTGGAAAAGAAACCAGCCAAACAGGGACAGAAAATGTGAAACCATGGTTTGGGGTCAAACCATGGTTTTGAACCCCAAAACCATGGTTTCGGCAGAAATGATTTGAAGTTGCTTCTGGCTCAAATTTTCCAGACATTGGTGTGGGCCTAACAGCATATGACAAAGCAGCCCCATAATTGATGCCTCACTCTTCATTCCACACTCGGTTCTTCAATATTTAATCTTATAATTTATAAATATATATACACATATTAATTATTTATTAGTTATATTATCTTATATATTATTAATTATGTTAGTAAAAATTATTTTATTAACAATTTTATTTCTTCAAATCAAAATATATTATAAAATCTATCCCTTATATAAGTATAATATTAATTTATGCCCTTTTTAGTACTTTGCACATATAAAAAGTGCTTCTGGTAACAACTATCCAAACACTCTTACTTCTTAGAATCACTTTTTCATAAAATCTATTCTCTCCAAAATCTATTCTCTCCAGAATCTGTTTTTCAAAAGCTATTCTCCAAACCATGGTTTGGATTTATCCAAACACACCGACCCCTTCAACTATCCTTGGCCGTGCATCATTTCCTCTGTTTCCCCACTTCCTTCTAAATAATCATTTCTTTAATATTTCCCGCAACTAAGTTTGAATTTGCTGACCACTATTGCTAAAACAAGGAATCTTCCTCCCTATAACACGTTAAACCGGGGCATCTTGCTGGCATATCAATACGTGACGGTACATTTTGATTTTAGTCATCTCCTAGTATTCTTCAATTTAATTTAATTTTTTGTAGAATAATCTTCCTTTTGTTTTTTTTTTTAATTTGATCTTTCTTAAAGTTATATTCTTAACATAGTCCTTCCCACAGATATCTTCAACTCAGTCTGTTTCTGTTAATTAGGAGTAAGTTATAAACAATATTTTATTAGTCTACCAACTTACTGCTGAACGAGAATGGCGTCACTTGGCTGTTCTGTTTTTCTCTTTGTATTTTGTTTCTATGCTTTGTAGTTATTTCCTTTAGTACTCTGTTTTTTACATTCTATATTGTCAAAAAAAAAAAAGGAACAATACGTGCTTGCTTGTCGTAACACAAGAGTAGTGAAATCCCACTTGAAGCTTCGTTTAGTACATCGGGGTTTAAACAGTTGGATCAGAGTAATCAACAAGAACGAAGCATACGAGTATGTTAAACCAAAAAAAAAAGAGTATGAGAACTTTAGGAAATCTAACTGGTCAGCTTTTCTGTTAACTTCCCCAACCTTTTAGAAAATGTGGTTGGGCTATCGGCTCACCAATAAATTTTTGACCTTTAGCTCATGTCACGTGCCGCATACACGTGGAAACCCAACTTCCTAAAATCCTTACACATGTCGACTTATCAAATTTTCACTGAAAGTGACTTTGTATTCTTCCAATTGAGTAATTGAGTAATACACTAATACTCATCCCTCCCCATCCCGAGACTTCACGAGCAGATACACTGTCATCTATAGCTTTTACTTTCTTAAAAGCCTCCCTTTTTCTCTTTCTTTTGAAAAGAGGCTTCACTAGCAAGCTCTGTTAAATTGGGTGGGGGTGGGGGGAATGGAAAAACGAAAGAAAGATATACTTTAATGGGTCAGACTGGGCTTAAGGGTACTCGAATGGTGGAATATTAAATAATCATTTCGAAAGTACTAGTAGTATTTGGATTTGAAATGATTGCGATAGGATGAGAAACTACTGAGTCGGGTATGGTACCGATGGACAAAGTGGGGAAAAAAAAGAAAGTGAGATGTATTAATTACGTGTGGGGCACAAAACAGAACAAGGCATCCAGTGAGAGAGATTAATAATGGCTTGTTTTTGTGGGATATTATTATGCAGGGAAAAAGAAGATGGAGCGAAAGTGGTGAGAGTGGAAAACATGGATAACCCCTACAAGCACCAAGATAATTTCGACAAGAGATTCAAGTTGACGTTAAATAAACTGTACGCGTGGAGCCTAGTTGATTACGACAGGGTGGTCATGTTGGATGCTGACAACCTCTTCCTTCATAACACCGATGAGTTGTTTCAATGTGGACAATTCTGCGCCGTCTTTATCAACCCCTGCATCTTCCACACCGGCCTCTTTGTCTTGCAGGTCACTCCTTTATTCATCTTCCTCCCTCTATTATTATCATTTAAATTTAAATTTATTAATCACCATCATCTGTCTCAGCCAAACCTTTTAATAATCTTAAATCCTTTCTTTACACGATGTTCCCATATCTGCTGACGGATGTTCGAAGCAATCGACTTTACATACCACTACAGATAATAGTATAATAATTGTACTGATCACAGTAATATGCGATCTGATGATGTAATATTTGCAGCCATCAATGACGGTGTTCAAGGATATGGTTAATGAATTGGAGATTGGAAGAGAAAATCCGGATGGTGCGGACCAAGGTTTTATATCTAGTTACTTCCCGGAATTGCTTGATCGGCCACTGTTTCATCCGCCTCCAAACGGCACCAAGCTTGAGGGAACATATAGGCTTCCTTTAGGATATCAGATGGATGCTTCGTACTACTGTGAGTAAATGTAAAACTAATTAGTTAAAGTAGAACGAAATAGCTGAACTGAGTTGCAGAATTTTAAATGGAGTGATGTTGTGTTTTTTTTCAGATCTGAAGCTACGATGGAGCATCCCTTGCGGACCAAATAGTGTGATCACATTCCCTGGGGCACCCTGGTTAAAACCATGGTATTGGTGGTCGTGGCCTGTTCTGCCATTAGGCCTCCAGTGGCATGAACAACGTCGTCAAACTTTGGGGTAAGTTCAACAGTGAATTCCATTTCAATTCTAAAACATGGCATTCCAGAATATTTAATTTAATAAGCAATATGTTCATTAAGATGTGCGTAATTATGATGCGTACAGGTATAGTGCAGAGATGGCGGTGGTACTGATCCAGTGTGCGATATACATAGGAATAATAGCAATGACCCGTTTGGCGAGGCCGAGTCTCTCAAAGCTGTGCTATCGGCGATCCGATAAGAGCATTAACTTAGTGCAGAACAGCCTCAAGTTGGTAGCATTTTGGTGCATACTTGCAGCCTACATAACTCCATTCTTCACCATTCCTCACACGGTTCACCCTCTTCTGGGATGGTCTCTGTATTTGCTCGGTTCTTTCGCTCTGTGTTCGATCGCCATGAATGCGTTTCTTCTTCCAATTTTACCAGTTTTGGTCCCATGGTTAGGTATTATTGGAGTGCTCTTAGTTATGTCATTTCCATGGTATCCAGATGGTGTAGTCAGAGCTCTGGCCGTCTTCGCTTATGCCTTCTGCTCTGCACCATTTCTGAGCGTAGCCGTATCGAGGATAAATGCAGCTCTTCATTAACTCTTGAGAGGGAAGCTTTCTTGCCCAGACTGGGAGAATCCACTCCTCCTTCTGGGTTTAACAAGCTTTACTGAAATTGAGCAGTACCCATTTGTGCATAATACAGTGACCGCCACAATCAATGATTTTTTCCTGCAGACAACACACCGTCGGGACATGGGGGCTTTGGGGCATGAGATCATTCGCATTCTTTCGGAACTGATTGCTATTTTACCTTTTTGCTACATGGTGTGCTTGATTGGCTCCAGTCTTGTGTAGTTGTAAAATTATTGAGCAGTGGCCAGATTTGGGTATTATTACTCATGAGTCCTTGTATAAACTCTAGATTGGTATCTATATTAGTATATAAATTCTTCCCGTCATGGAAGAAACCTTCGCCTCAATCGCCTCATCTCCTTTGGATGTTATCCGGGCTGATCAGTTTCGGAAGATCATATAGTATGTGAGCCCAATATATGGGTTTATGGCTTTCTACTAACTGGAACATGAAAGCTCAAAGTGGACTTTATGCATCAGATTTTTTTTCCCCCTCCTAAATATCAGTTTTTCTTGTAACTAATATTTCATCTTTAAGGCTTGTAACCCAGAATAAAAAAACAAGGTTAAGGCTAATAACTAAAGGGGCCCCCCGTGGGGAGCTTGGGCCAGTGATTGCACAGTGTTGTTGCTGAGGGCAATGGACCGATGCTTTTTATTGCATTGGGACTGGATTGCTCCAGCCCAATGCATGATTGCCTCAATCATTAATTTTCCGTCGTTTTTATTTTTAACCAGGTTAATGGGTACTATTAAATTTCATTATCGGCCAATCAGTTTTTTTGGGGGAGGTTGGCTTTTTTTGTCTGGGGCAAAGTTCACAGGACAAAGGAGTTCAGGTCCCAACGTTCGAAAAATTGCGTGCGCTTTCTATGAATATATCAGTAAGGGCCCCACATATATGGGGACCAGAAAGATAAAAAAAGGGTAATTGAAGCACAATACAAAATACTATTCACCCATGCTGGGGCCATAATTTGTCATGCACCCCATTTCCACCATATGACCGTTTGAGCCAAAACAAAGATGCCATGCAATCATAATGCGACCAAATCATCCGGCCTCAAAATGCAGCCACAAGTAATTCAATGAATTTAACTCGGCGCAATATTAGGTCCCCAAGAGTCAGACTAGGCCCCACTTTTCTGCTTTCTTCGTGCCAGCCACTTGCATCGAATTTTAGGCAATGAGGAATGATTTGCTTAACACAGTGCATGATAATACCAACTTCAGTATGTTTTAATCTTTAACCAACCTCATTTCCACAGCATGAGATTCCAGGAGGATTGAACTCATAAGCAAAGCTTTCGAGTCATTAAGCAGGCCTTTTTGGCGGTGATCTGACTTTGATTCCCTGAAAGAGAAAAACACAATTGAGTAGAGACCAAAATGTCAACTTCTCCTTTTGTGTCCATAATTAAATGCAGGTACGGGAAAACGAATATGCAACAGTGACGTTGTGGACGTAGGCCTACAAGAGATAGGAAAGCGCCATGGGGATGGTCACGGGCTTGGTGTTTGAAGTTCAGGGACGTCGTCTGAGTTCCAGGTGGGTGTGTCTCACCTCGAGAATGCAAATCCAACTGAGCATAACAAGCAATATGATTATATGACCCACACCCACATCTTTTGTAGATTTATGTGCGACGCCACCCAATGACGCATTTCTTTTAAAAATGTGATATATTTTAATGATAATTTCAGAATAACTCTATCATCAGCCATGTTTTTTTTTGGTCCCAAAAAAACTAGCTGTATGAGCTAGCTTGCCCCCTAAAAGAGGATGCCCGGCAAAAGTGACCGTTGGAGCCGTCAATCTAAACATGCCCAAGTAATCCGAGGCTATAAATTGCTTCTCTATCTTCCCACTGGACTTTACTTTTGACGACGCTGCATATTTCTCCCGAAGTTTCGATTCTGCTCCCGCCCTCCTGCAAATCCCACATTCTGACGCTCTCTCATCTTTAACAACCTCTTATTATTAATATGTGCTTCCAATTCCTACTGTAATGGCTTCCTTTTTCTTCTCGTTGATTTTCGTTTCTGGTTTGTTATTGTTTCATGCAGAAACAGTGAGATGCACGGCTTCCGACGATAACACCCCGAGTTCACCCGTATGTTGCACGAACTCCTCATCGCAGCACCGTCACAGGTGGACGGGCCCTATCGGTTACCGTGTAATCACCGTGGACTTGAACGGCACCGGGCAATTCAGATCAGTGCAAGCTGCCGTCGATTCTGTCCCAGACAACAATCGAATGAACGTCGTCATAAATATCAGCGCCGGATACTACATGTATAATTATTGCTCTTGGCAACAATATATATGTAACTAAGAATTAATAATTAATATATATAATGTTGCAGTGTTGTTTTGTCCTCTATTTCTTTCACTGATCTATTTGCTTACGTTGATGATAATGAAATTTTGTTGGGGATGGTGGGAATGCAGAGAGAAGGTGGTGGTGCCGGCGACGAAACCGTACATAACGTTTCAGGGAGCGGGGAGGGACGTGACGGTGATAGAATGGCATGACAGGGCCAGCGACCCTGGTCCCAACGGACAGCAGCTGCGTACTTACAGAACTGCTTCTGTTACTGTCTTCGCCAACTATTTCTCCGCCAGGAATATCAGCTTTAAGGTAATAAGATTCAAGAAAAGCCATAAATGCGATGAAATATCAACTAGCTATATTTTTGAAAGTGCGAAGATGATAGAGTTTAAGTGAACAACGCAGAACACGGCGCCGGCGCCGATGCCGGGAATGCAGGGATGGCAAGCGGCGGCGTTTCGGATATCGGGGGACAAGGCTTATTTCTCAGGATGCGGCTTCTACGGAGCACAAGACACTTTGTGTGACGACGCCGGCCGCCATTATTTCAAGGACTGCTACATCGAGGGTTCCATCGATTTCATCTTCGGCAATGGCCGCTCCATGTACAAGGTCTTCTCATTTCTTCTTTACTTTAATTACTTTCTGTTCTATGTACGTTCACCTTTTTTACAGCTTTATTTTTCACACCTACACTGGAAAAAGGGTATTGCATTTTTGGGCATAGTTACGTGCATTTAGTGGTGTACTGGTGGTGCATGAAAAACGCAGGGTCAGGCGCATAATAGAGCCAAGGCATTCCAGATGACAATTGATGGGCAGGAACTAATTTTTGTGATCATCACTCTTATTAACATTCTAAACTCATCAGATCTGGATTGTCTATATCTCATTTAAATGGTCTAAATTTAGTTTTTTTTTAAATTTTTATTTATTCAAAATAATTTTTTAATATGTATAGAATCTAAAATAGAGATAATCTCTTAACTATGTAAATCTAGACCATTCAAATCAAATAGAGTGCTCATCAAAATAATAAGCACCGGTTCCCACATGTAATGCACCATGTGATACAGCTGAAGTCTAAACCTTGGATTAGAAGCTTTTCAAAAGCGCTTTTCCCTCCACCTTTTTTTTTTTTCTCTCGAGTTTCATTCTGTTCTTTAAAATTCAAAAGCTTTGCGAAGAATATTATATTATATTACTAGACAGTGACACCTCACTTGGCCGAAATGGAGTATGACGTGGGAGTCTCGGTTGGTGCAGGATTGCGTGGTGCACTCGATAGCGACGAAATTCGGGTCGATAGCGGCCCACAAGAGAAAACACGTGGACGAGAAGACGGGCTTCACATTCGTACGGTGCAGGGTGACGGGTACGGGCCCACTCTATGTAGGCCGGGCCTTGGGCCAGTACTCCAGAATCGTCTACGCTTATACGTATTTCGATGACATTGTTGCGCCCGAAGGTTGGGACGACTGGAACCACGTGGACAACAAAAACAAGTAAATATTATAATACTGTATTTTGAAAGTTATTTAGTTTTCTATTTTTTAGGCTATATTATGTAACGTGTTAGAGGGGCAAAACTCATGTGGTTTATTTAACTATCAAGTTAAATGAATCGAGTTGGTTTAATCCGATTGAAAAACATTTTCAAAAATTGCAACCCAACCATCTGAAAGGGTTAATCCAATTAGCTCACCGAAGTTACTATTTTCACATTATGCTGATGAGTCCATGACAAAAAATAGTGCAATACTACCTCTAGAGAACTAGTTTGATTTTTAATTTGATTTTAAAAATGAGACCTAAATCTATTTTGTCTATCATATTCATCTATTTTTTTTAAAGTAGTATTTAGAGCAACTGCACATATTAAGTAGTAGGCCTAGCTAATATATATGATTAATAAGGGTATTTTAGATAAAACAACACTTATTTAAAAAAATAATTAGCAAACTTTCTTATTCTACTTAAATTAATCAATTAGTTCTTATATTATGCATCGGAGGTAATATAACATCCAAAGGGTTTGATTTTAATGGAAGGACTTGTTTCTCATGACGTTGAATCTTTGTTAATACTCACATTTAGTGTTTAACACTACCTCAAATGGAATCATGGAAAATGGCTCTGGCAAGCATGTTCTGCGCAGCGTTTTTCGTTATTATATGGTTAATAGTTATGTGGCATCGTGGTCAGGACCGTGTTCTTCGGAGTGTACAAGTGCTGGGGCCCGGGAGCCGCGGCGGCGCGTGGGATGTCTCTGGCCCGTGAGTTGGACTTTGAATCCGCCCATCCGTTTCTCGTGAAGAGCTTCGTCAATGGCAGACACTGGATCGCGCCTTCTGATGCTTAATTTTAGTATTTTACACAAACTCTTCATTTTTTCATTCTTTGCATTAAGCCTTGTTCTGGCATATACACTCTTTCTAGTTCATTTGTATACTGATTATTCTTTGTCATCTTCGATGTATTCATTTTCCTGTACACACATTGCTCCCACAATATGCATCGTTTTGTTATATCCTTGTAGTAAAGAAAGAGAAGCCAAGAGAAATAAAGCGAAAGTTCCATTTTGGTTGTGTTTTTTTTTTTTTGTCCTTCATTCTCATTCATACATATACTAAGGCCAAAACAAAATATTAGATTCAAACCTCAACGAAAGAAGACACAAAAATGCATTAAAGGACTTAATCATTGTAATATTTATATGTAATGAAAAACCTTAAAAAGTTAGTCTTATGAACCAAAGGATTTTATTATCGTAAGCGGGGTTATCAGATTTGTGAATTAAACTAGCTTAACAGAGCCAGTTGGTTTCATCCACTATCGTTTTCTCTTTCTTGGCAAATTAAATTATGATACAACCGAAAGTCCCAAGGGCTCAGTTAATTCATTTTCACAAATTAAATCCCGAATCTGAAATTGAATTTAAGCACGTGTACCTTTCTTCATCACCGTGGCTCGTACAATGCAGTCTTTGAATCATTGAAAGAAAATACAGTCGA